TTTTAATTTGTGATGTATGCTTAATCATTTAGGATGATGTGTCATGTATGTTTAATATTTTGAATTTTATGTTTTATTTATGATAATTTCTATTTAGATGTTTCATTTTAAATATTTAGGAATTGGAATAGATTTTACTAAAATAAAAGAAAATGCCAAAAAAAAAGTAAAATACCAGCCTACCAGAAGTCGATTCTTTTAGAACCATCCTGTCGATCCTTGACCTTGTTATGGGCCAGCCCATAACCATCGGGTTGGCCTATATTACCAACTCTCTCTGTACACATGATTCTAATAATTTTGTTATTTGTTAATTTCAGCATCAAATTTGTTATTTGTTTCTTAAGTGCTTTGCTATATTTACTATATAGACGTTCTCATAATGCTATATTTTATCATCTCATTACTGTACTAATAATTAATGTAAACTTCTATTAGAAATCTAAATATTTTTTTCAAAGTTTGATGGGATGGATGAAGTAATATGAACTGCCTGATAAAAATTTATTAAAAAAAATCATACATCTTAGTCTTTTAACAACATATAGAGTAAGAAAGCGTGAAGCTGATGGATCATTTATCAGTATCTTAAGGGGAAAAAAAAAGCTAGGTCATAAATTGATTAGATCAATTACCAATTTGCTAACTTAAAGAGGAATTTTAGTATTTTAACAACATTAAAAAAAATCCCTAATAAGGCCCATTGGCCTAATTAGGAATTTATTAAAATTAAAGTGTGAGCCTTAATTTAGATTTTGATATTTCAACTCTCTGAAATTCTCCCAAAATAAAAAGTACTTTTACTTGGTAGTAATTTAGATATACGATACATTAACATATATGGTCCCAAAAAAATATTGGCAAAGCAATAATAAGAATAAAATAGAGATATAGTCCAAAATCCTTGCCCCCCGGGCCAGAGACAAGCAGGCCAAATATTATAATCTTTGTATTGTCTTTAATATAAGAGTTAGTTGGAGTTGAATCTGATTATAAATGTATATAAGATTTCAATTTACTTTGTCTCTGTTTTTTTTAATAAATCCCTATTGACTATAACGAGTTCCCACCAAGTAGTAGTTTCAACGTAGTACATAATTAAAAATAGTAATTTAAGGAGGCCAACATATATTGGTTTCAAATAATCAATTCAACTAATTTTCTTAATGTTAGCTTTAGGGATTTCAGAGAAATAAGAAGAAAGATGAAATCAAATATATTATTCATGATAAAGCACATGCTTATACAATCGTTGTAACCTACTTGAGTTAACACTAATCATCCCTTACACAAGGGTGATGAACAAACCCTATAACTTATGAGGATTTTTTATATGGGTGACCCAAGTTAACCTTCCCTTTTTATGATGAAGATTACATTATCTCACACTCTTAACCCATTCACTAAGATTCTATTTATAGAATCTATCTCAATTATCTAATGATATCTTTACCCCTTCTTAACACTTAACATCCTCAAATTAGTTATTTAGTTCTTATATTGAAGACCCAATATAGTATTTGTATGTTAGTTTGCGTAAAATAGGAAAGTTAAAGGAACATCAGTTGAAACTCAGTGCTCATTCATCTAACTACAACAAGTATCGTCCTAAAATAAACTGGGTTTTTATCATAATTCACTGAGTAAGGTATCAAGTAATTCTTTTAAATATTATTCCTATTTAAAATTTGACACAACATTTATCTGAGCATTCGTACAAAACTGGCCGAGTAAAATTGGAATATTTTTAATTTCAAGACAATATTAACTTTATTTCGGACAAAAATGTAGTAATAATAACTCAACCCCACATCTTTCAGTTTAATAAGATATGATGCACAATGATGCCTACATAACAAGACGTGGAGAGAATAAAAGTGACTTAATTATATTCCCGTTTAACAATGTTAAGCCGCATATCTTTATAGATCTTTTGAAGGAAAAAAAACACTACTACTCCCTCTACTGTTATTTGTAAATTATATTTAACAAATTCATACAAAACAGGAAAACCAGTTGGAGTTTTTTTAACTAGGTATACTTTGAAAAATTATTCAAACTTAAAAAATCAACTAATATTTAATAAGAAAATTAATTAACCTAGCTAGAGTTAGCACTATTCTATTTTTTTAATAAAAAACTCCTCTTCTTTTCTTAATTTGATATTTATTTCATTCATTGCGCCCACAGAAACAAAAGATATAAAATACCACCTTTATCCTTTATATAACTCACTTATAGAAAAAAGTTTTGTTCTTAAATAATTCTATGATCATATTTATAAGTTATTTCTAATATATTTCATACAGACTAAGAAAAATTTTAAATTTCATCAACTTTCATTTAAAATTTGATAACTTTTCAATTTTATCTTTATTCAATATGCATTATACCCCATTAAAACGAAGTCAACACAACACTAAATGAATGATAAAATTATACATTCATATAAAATTTTTCTCTCTTTGCCTTATAAATATGACCAAAGGAGTATATGCTTTCTTCAATTCTCATTATAAGCTTTAAATAACTAATTCACAAAAAATGAATAATTAGTTAAAAGAATAAAGAGGTTAGAAATAAACTTCTATTTTCAAATATTCCCTTATAAAAAACGAGAAAAGTGATGAAAGAGAATGTGAAGAAAAATAATTAAAGCAACATTAAAAAAAAATACATTAAATGTTAAAAAAAACCAAATTGCAACTTATAAATAGGACCGAAGGGAGTATAACTCACTTGTAATACATTTAACCTTGTTTTTAAAAATTTATCTTTATTAATTCTCATTGGAAATAGAAAAATAAAGGAGAGATATGAGACTTATTAGTAAATCTATGAAAATGTATTACAAATGACTTATATTAAATACCACAATAGTATGTAAGAACCTTACGAGTAAACAATTTTAATTATTTTATTTAAATTTTTTTTCCAACGCTTTTTTTCTTTAAAGGGTGTATTATTACATAAATGATCAGATGTCTTCTGATACACTGAATAGCATTCCCAAAAAAAAAAAAAAGAACGAAGTATGTGATGAAGTGTGTGTTTAGATTAATTTATATGTCTTCTGATACATTTAATAGAATATGGAAATGTTGTGGTGTTGTGTGTGAGTAGCAAGTGAGGGGACTCATTTTTAAAAGTGTGAAGAATTTGCACGGACGGATGATCATGCCGTGCAACAATGAACCGAGCGGATGGTTTTCTTTCAGCATTTAATAATACCACTATTGTTATGGCTCGAGGCGAAGCCCGAAGGTTGACTGTGTCAACCGCAAAAAGCACAAATCTCTCTCCTAATGTGTTAGTGGTTGGAAGTTATGTTAGGTTAGACGGTTGTTGATTAGGTCAAACTCCCGGGCCCCCCCCCCCCAACGACGCCGTCAAACGCTTCCCATAGGTCCCCATCTCTTACACCTGTCTGCCTTCCCACCTAACCTCTGGAGTCTCCCTTACACTTGTCTGCTTTCCCACCTCACCTCTGGATTCTCCAGAATCTGTCGAGCGTCAGATACTCCTTAAGATGTTTTGCGTCACCGATCAGGTCATCATCTATCTCCGCGGATAGAGGCTGTGCCAAGAGTTAGATTGATAAAAATCAAACTCATTTTAAAACTAATCTTTGAGTCTATAACTATCAAGACAGAATTCAGGGCTAGTTAACTCACAAGATCAGTAGATCAGCCCATTTTACTTTGTTTTAAATTTCTCTCTCTCTCTCTCTCTGTAAATATAATTATATTTATTTCCTTAATTTTTATCTCATTTTTATTATTTAAAATTATCATAATATAATATATTTTTACTTTGTATTATGAACTTTATCTGTGGTAGAGTTAGCTAAGCAAAAGGAAGGTGGTTCTATTTCTCAAACTCAACCAAATAATTTCACATCTTTGGATCATGCTTTGAATCTTATCAATATTGAATGATGGCTAATGGTTGGGTATTTAATAGTGATTTGTGACATTATGTTTGTCGATTTAGATTTGTTATATTTTAATTTAGGATGCATGTTTAATCATTTAGGATAATATATCATGTATGTTTAATATTTTGAATTTCATGTTTTATTTATAATAATTTCTATTTAGATGTCTCATTTAAAATATTTAGGAATTGAAATAGACTTTATTAAAAGAAAACAAAATCCAATTTTTTTTAAAAAAAAGTAAAATATCAACCAACCAAAAATCGATCCTTTTAAAATCAGCCTATCAGTCTTTAATCTTATAACGGGTCAGCCCATAACCCACGGTTTGACCTATATTATAGGTTATCTCTATGCGTGGCTCCCGCATCCCCCTTAATAATACCCCATCATATACGGATGATAATACGAGTACTACTCATCTTCAAACTTTATTTTAATCTGTTCTCCTTTCCAAGTTACTTCCTTTATTTTATCCCCAAGCCAGCAGCCCCCCGATTTTTAGTCAGCGGCATCTAGCACGTGTTTAATTCACAGCCGGGATGCTCTCGTGGTTTCCTGTTCATTACGTGGCATCACTGGGATTCAGGGAGAGTGTTACGCGGTCCTACTGATAGTGGGTGACTCGGTTCCACCAATTGCATAAATTTGTGACAACTCAGCTAGCTACTCAGTAAAAGACACGAGTAAGACGTTTCAATCATAACTGGCATGCTTTCACAGCATTGCTAAAAGAACTGCCCAAAGGGCAGAAAAGGACGGGAGGGTCAAACTACGCGACATTTTACCGATGATTCTCCCAGCTAGGTCCCACCCACCTGAAAAGGCACCCCGCCAGACCCACCACCGACTTTTGCCTGTTAGAGCAAATACTGTATATGGAAACCATACCTTAACTCGGTTTCTGGATCATATGCATAAGTTTGCGTGCCTATATACAGTTGTACACCCAACACAGTACTGAAATGAAAGACTCATTATTCCCACCGACCTTTTATTTTGCGCATGTACATAGATACGACCTGCTTCCATTTGCTACTGCACATTAATTTTTTGTTAATTAACAAACTTTAAAAACATATACCTCCTTCCTCCAGTCGCGTAAATGCAACTGGAATCTGGGTACAGCATACATAATTCCCTCTCACACTAAATCTTAAAACGGAGTCACGAGTCCATAAATCTAACGTGACTCGTCCTATACCAAATTAATTAAATACGCTCAGCATTGATAGGCCTCTTCGAGGCAGAGCTAATTTTTTGTTTTTCGCTTTAGTTTGGACCACTCTATGGCGAGATTATTAAACAGACTGTTTATTCTGACCACGTGCTGACTTATTTAAGAATTCACCGGCTCTGAGTAGTTCCGGGAGCAGAGTCCGAAGAGTCTCCCTCGACAAAATCCATCAACCATTCCAAATCTTCTTTTCCAATCCCATCCCAGAATTCACCATCGTCGGGCACTATCGCTTCCATTTCAATGTTCGGATTCTCGGGATTCACCGGCTCCGCCTCGGACGGCACTGTCGCCGGCGGCTGAGCCAATGGGGGAGCTTCCGGTGGCTGAGTGGCCTGCAAATTCAGCAACGAGTCATCAGAGAAAGGAAAGTTCAGCTTGGCGCGGGGCCCGCGGAACTCGATGGCCGCTTTGTCGTAAGCGTGAGCTGCTTCCTCGGCTGTCTTGAAGGTTCCCAGCCACACCCGGGTCGCCCGTCTCGGATCTCGAATCTCAGCCGCCCATTTGCCCCAGGGCCTCTGCCTCACTCCCCTGTACTTCTTCGCCCCCCCCTTCTGCGGCTGTTTGTTCCCTGCATTCTTGGTCTTCTCTTCTGGTAAAGACTTGGAGCCCGAGCAGGAGGCCACTCCGAAATCAGGGCGGCCTGCTTCAGCAGTCGTCAGGGCTGGCGCCCCGTGGTCGACATTGTGTAGGATTCCGGCTGCGGAAGAGGAATAGGGTGAGGGGAAGCGATGGGTGAGATCAGCGGTGGAGCCAAGGACGACGTTCGTGAGTGCTTCGACGATGACGGAGAGTTCTTGGTCGGGAGGGAGGGCGGTGGGCGGACGAAAAGAGAAGGAGGCGGAGGAGGAGGAGGAAGAGGAAGAGGAGGGGGGAAGGAGCCTGGATGGGGTGTTGGAGGACATGGGGGAGAGCCGGAGAGGAGTGAAAGAGTGCGAAAAGTGAGAGAGGATAAGAATGACGGCTGATTGTGAATGCGGAGAAGCTACCAAGCTAGGAGGAGGGGAAAGGAGCGAGGGGCATATATACGGTTTGGGGGTGACGTGGCAGGGAAGTGCCAGCTGTGTACACAATTCGCACACGGGGTTGAAGGGGGCGTTATGGAACTCAAGTAAGATACGCCGTGTCACTGTTTTGACGAAGCCAATCCTTTGCACTGACTCCAGCAGAATCTCACTACGAGACAAGGGCAACAGTTGGGCACTCAGACAATGACAGTAGGACCTCATCTTCTCGTCGCAGTGGACGGTTACAGCAGCAATATCCGTCCATCATATTATTATTATTATTAGATATGGGATGCATCGATAAAATAATACTTGTCCGGTATTTAATATATAACCTCTAAGTTGATATTCGTTTTAAATATAAAACATATTTTTATATTTATTAATTTTTTTAAATTACTCTAATAGATACTCTCTCAATCGTAATTAAGTAGAAGAGCGATAGAGGATATTAAGAAAGATGATTATAGAATTTTAAGAAAAATATTTCATATTTTTTATAATTAATTAACTTATCTAACTTCTTTAATCTAATTAAATTAGCTAAATAGATATTACATTAAGGATTGGAGAAGTATTAGCATACTAGATCTATCCTAAATAAGATTAGGGTTTTATATGCTGTTGGAAAATAATATTAATGTCAAATGCTATTTTACCCTATTTATTTTTAATTATCAATTTGATTTTTTAAATTTTTTAGAGCTCAAGAACAAATTTCTTTCGTGCTGTAATTTCTTTGCTTTTTTTCACGGTGAAAGCCATACTGTAATCTCCATCGGAATGTGAGCTTAGGAATCGCAAAAGTCATTTATAGTTACATTATTTATATTTTGTTAAAAAAAGTAGAATGTATAATTTAATATAAATATTGATATGAACATATAATAGAAAAAAAAATAAGATCTTTTAAAAGGTATTTTTTATTTGATGTTGATATGTAATTCCAAAAGAAATTATAACAGTAAACGATGCCAACTATTTTTCTTTGTACGTATAATATGTGAAATGGATGATGTAGAAAATAAAAGGGAGAACCCTAATTAAATCCACTTGAAATATCAAAACTCAAATTAAGGTCTATATTCTTAACAAATTTTGAATTAGATCAAAAAGTCTTATTAGGGATTGCTGAATGTTGTTAAAAGATTAAAATACTTTCTTATAATTTAAAATAATATTATTTTGAAAACAAAAAAATTAAACCATGACAACTTGGCATTATATATAGTACTTAATTATAAAATAAATTTACATAAAAAACTTGCAAATACTAGAAACAAAAAATTGACAATGCATAATATAATATTTTATACTAACTCTAAATAATATTCATAAGAAATTTATGGGAACAAGGATTTTTTTTTTTTTTGGGTAATGGGAACAAGAACCTTTTAATTACCAGATTCCAACACCATTAAATTAATGACTTTTTTAGTTAAAAAAATCAGTTTTGGCCTCAAAAAATTGTTAAAAAATTAGAATCTTAATGTATTAGTTGATTTCAGTATCAAAATTTTCATTTCTTTCTTTAGCGCTTTGCTTTATATGCCATAGAGATATTCTCATCATGTTATGTCTTATCATCTCATTACTAAAATTCATGCTAATAATTAATACAGACTAATATTCAAATTTAAATAATTTTTTCAACGTTTAGTGGGGTGGATGGAGTAATATGAATTGCTTAATAAAAATTTATAAAAAAGAACCATACATCTTAGTCTTTTACCAATATATGGAGCAAGAAAGTGTGAAGCCGATAAATCATCTAACAGTATCTGAAGAAAAAAAAGAAGATAGGTCATAAATTGATTAGAGCAATTACCAATTTGCCAACTTAAACAAGCATGCTAGTCTTTTAACAACATTCAAATATCCCTAATAAGACCTTTTAGCCTACACAGGAATTTGTTAAAAGTATATACCTTAATTTGAATTTTGATATTTTAACCGGATTTAATTAAAAAATTTTCAGAATAAGAAGTACTATTACTTGGCACTAATTTACATGGACGATAAAATAACATATATGGTCCCAAAAAAATATTCGCAATAGTAAGAATAAAACAGAGAATTTGGTTATAAATGCAAAACTTTGATTTATTCTGTCTTTTTTCCCCTAAAATATCTCTACTGACCATAACGAGTTTTCCAAATAATAGTTCCAATTCAGTACATGATTTAAAATAATAGTTTAAGAAGGCCACTATATATCTGTTTCAAATAATTAATTCAACTAATTTTCTTAATATCTTCAAATTAGTTATTTAACTCTTATATTAATAATTCAATATAGTATTTGTTTGTTAATTTGTGTAAAATAGGAAAGTTAAAGGAACATAATTGAGTTAAATGCTCATTCATCTAACCACTACAGGTCTCGTCCTAAAATAAACTGATAGTTTTTATCATAATTCACTGAGTAAGGTATTAAGTAACTCTTTTAAATATTATTCCTATCTAAAATTTGGCACAACATTTATCTTTGAGCATTCACAGAAAATTGGCTGAGTAAAATTTACAATATTTTTAATTTCAAGACAGTATTAACTGTATTTCGAACAAAAATATAGTAATAATAACTCAACCCCGGATCTTTCAGTTTGATGAGATGCACAGTGATGCCTACATAATAAGACGTGGAGAGAATAAAAGTGACTTAATTACATTCCCGTTTAACAATGTTAAGGCGCTTATCTTTATAGATCTTTTAAAGAAAAAAAAAAACACTACTCCCTCTACTATTATTTGTAAATTATATTTAACAAATTCATACAAAACAGGAAAACCAGTTGGAGTTTTTTAACTAGGTATACTTTCAAAAATTATTCAACTTAAAATATCAACTAATCTTTTATAAGAAAATTAATTAATCTAGAGTTAACACTATTCTATTTTTTTAATAAAAAAATCTTCTCTTTTTAATTTGATATTTATTGCATCGAGTAGTGACAAATCACTATAATGCTCAACCCCACACCACTTTCGTTGTTTTATCAAACATTAAACTGCCTCAATAAAGGGGAAACAATATCTGCCTTTTGGGGCCTTGTTGAAAATCTCCGTCCAAAAAAAGGATCTCATCCCCTATGTCCATATTTATATAAATCACTATCCCGAGTTCTGTCACATTAGCACTTAGTTGAGTTTTTCAAAGTTTGATTGGTGACAATATGTATGAAGAGTGTTATAGTCAGTACTAAATTTTTTTTGAGAAGTGAATATTAATCACTACTACCAACGCTAAATAGTTTGGATTTATTAAAAACAATAATTACCTTGTGATTTGTCGTGGGGAATGAAAATAGGAAAGAGAAGCTGGGAAAAAAACACAACAAAAAAATTGTTTTTTTCTCGACTGAATATGAAAAAAAAAAAGGAATCTAAGGTTGACTTTGAATCCCACACTCAAACAATACAATGCTCATCATCAAGTTTAACAATTTAAACTGATTTCAATGGGCCCAAATTTAATTCAATTCAATATTTTAGCCTTTTTTTTTTTTAATTTTAACGGGTGAAGGACTAAAGTAGAGATATGACGTTATGTTTATGAAAAAATCTCAAAAAAAGCTCTTGGAATATACGAAATATCAGATTGGGTCATGGAATTGTGTAAATGACAGAAAGGATCAACGACCTAGTCTGTCATTTTTAAAATCAAGAGAAATTGACAACTTTACCCCGACTAAGCAAAAGTGAGTAGTTATTCTTTAAGCAAATATAGGTAACGCTTACATTATTCTGGTAATTACATAATTAGTTGTAGTTAATAACAAGGTACCTGACTACGAAAAAATAAGTAGTTATTCTCTACACAAATCTAGATAACGTTTACATTGTTCTAGTAACTACATGATTAGTTGTAGTTAATAACAAGACACCTGACTATGAAAAAGTGAATAGTTATTCTCTACACGAATCTAGGTAACGTCTAAACCTTTATAATGATTTCTTGAATCATTGTAGTAAATGAATACGAATGAAAGCAAAATTGTCAATTTCTCTTAATTTTACAAATGACAGATTGTGTCATTGACCTTTTCTGTTATTTACACAATTTCAAGACCTAAATCTAAAATTTCTTATTTTTTTTTAGAATTTTCCCTATGTTTATTGCTTAAAAAAAAATTCTTATTTAAATACTGGTACTACTTTGAAATTGAAGACGAGATTTGGATAGAATAGAACTGTTGCAGCGGCGCCGTCCAATGACATGTGGGGGTCACAGATCGCGTCATTCTGAGACGGAGGAGAATGGAAGGTAAGTTCGGTAGAGAGGAGGAAGGTACAAAAGGTACAAATAGTGACAGTGAGATGACAAGCTGGAGGCAGCTGCCAAAATCACGACTTGGCCTCTTTCCCATTTAACGCCACGCCCCACAGACCGACCACGCTTACAACATTTCCCTTTCTTACCCCTCACTCCCTCGTCTCTTGGCCTCCGCCTCGCTCCTCCCTTAATTATCTATTTTTGTGGTGGTTATCAGATCTAACAGACTGAGATCCATCCAACAGGGATTCAATTTAGCTCAAAGCCTAACTTCTCATCACGTGCCGAATCAAAAATTTAAATTTTTGTTAAATATTGTGTTCACATTTAATAACTAACAGCACGTTAAGCATGATGATATCCAATTAAATAATATCTGTAAGTAATAAAAAAAACGTAAAGCAACATCTAATTTTTGGATTCACGTTGGGCCATGTTGAAATTTCGTATTAGGAAAGGATTTCGTTCTTTTAGAGATAAGTTCAACATTAAAAATTTTTTATGAGAAAAGTAATGCCTTATAAATTTTTACAAATTAAAATAGTAGTACTATGATTTATGTTTCTTTGACTGATAAACTTTTTAATTATGGTTTTTTTTTGGGTGATTTTTACGTCCGTCATCTCTACAGTTATTTTTTTCTCAGTTGAATATATAGGGAAAATAAGGAATCCCCCATGTGGCAGCATTCAGTGAAAAAAAATAGAAGTACTATGATTTATGTTTTTTTGACTGATAAACTTTTTACTTATGGTTTTTTTTTTGGGGTAAAAAAAAAGAAAAGAAACGTGGGAGTAATAGCTGGCTACGATGAGCAGCCGTCCAGAGACATGGTAGGGCCATAGACGGGGTCATTCAGCGACGAAGGAGCATTGATTTCCAAAAATAAATAGCAGAAAATGAAAGTGGGGGCCCAACTGCCAAGGGCACAGAGTGACAGTTAGATCCCAAGCTGGAGGCTGCTGCTGCCCAAATCTTGACCTGGTCTTTCTAGTTCCCTCCACGCTCCTCCCTCTCATTACTCCTTTCATTTTCATATCCACTGACCACTATCTAGTCATCCACTCCCACCTCAACATCACTCCTCTCTGTTTTTTTTTTTTTTTAAATCATGCCCTTAGTATTGAAAATATCTCCAGTTCATTAACCAGGACTAATATTGAAATAATTAATAGGGCATTTTAACATTGGAAATTTGGGATATTTTCAAGAACATTAACCAGATTTAATCAATCTTTTTGTTTCAGCAAATTAGTTAAACATGACTCACGTGTGTATAAGACCATATTAAATATAATTTACTTGACATTTAGATATAATTGTTGTTATTTTAAATTCTCCCAATTTCAAAGCCAGACTCTCTCACCTTCATTTGACTCCAAATCTTGACTTTTTTTCCTTTCTTGTTTCACTGGAATTAAATGAATCTCTTTGATTACTTGAGTCTCAAGGTAGACCAAATCTTAATAACCATGGAAATTATTCACTTTATATTGCTGGCCGAGGTTCGTTGCTGTGCGTGTGTGTGTTTTTTTTTTGGCTAAATATTCTTCTTTCTGCCATCTATCTATCTATCTAATTCAGCCCATGGCGAATCTGTGCCTCCAAAACAGAACACGACGAATCTAATTAGGATCTTGGGAAGACCCTGGAAGGCCACTCATATACAGCAAACTCATATGCAGAACATAATATGCTTGATGATCACCTTACCTCATTTTCCCCAGCACTTGCAGTCACTGAAAATTTTTATAACTGAGCAGAATCAAAGCTTTAACCTTCTTCAGTTAGGCTGAATCCAGCAACCAGTACCTGAGAAATCCAAAAATAAATAAAAAAACCATACTTGCATATTAATTCAGGTTAATGTGAAAAGCCTCGCTACGTGGGAGCCAAAAAAAAAAAAAAGATTAAAGTTTGAGTTAGTGAATTGACTCGTAAACTTGGTCTGAGCTCTAACAGAACCAGCCAGCCAAAGCAAAAAAATGCCCAGACTAAAAACTGCATCTCTTCATCGTCCTCTAAATCTGCAAGAAATAGAGCCCTTCAGCAAAATTAAGACTACAGGACAACAAGGAAACTGAAGATTTCTAGGCTTTGTAAGTAGATCCTGGTAAGGAGCATAATTCTGTTTTGATTTTGTCACTGTAAATAGCGAGCAAGCATGTTCATGAATTAGCTTATAAGCTTCTTCAACATAATGACTGAGAGTTGACTTACGAAAATAATAAAAATTCACGCAGTGCAGGAATATTTGAAACTCTTGGCAGCTTCCATGAACATGGGACTGGCATCATGAAGGGCGAGGTTTATGAAGACAATCCTGAAAATCCCGTAAATGCAGTATCTGTGACCTACCTATACGTGTTTTTTTCTGTGTTAAAAGGAGCAATCTTCAGTGTCCATGTTCTTTATTGTAACAAAAAATGGGGAATGGGTGTCTAATGCGCCTTTCCTGCTGCCTCCTAATGCCTCTAATCCCCTGCTGCTGCTTTCATAATCAGAGAAATTTCCTAGCCTCTTGTTCATAAACTGAATCCTATCCATTGATCCCTTTTGACCTAATTAGTCTTCTTCTTCCTCGCAGAATATTTGGCTCTGAAGGCCAAACCTCTTCTTTCAAAGCTTTTGGGCGTGTGAACTGTGATGGAGACCGGAGAAGCTCGTCGGAGGGGCGACTGAGACGGGAAGAAGCTTGCCGAATATTGGAGTTTCAAGGTTTCAATGTGAAGGACTTCCTCTTCGCCTAGCACTCTTCTTGGGCGTCTTAGCAAGGTTGGTGTGTGATGAGGAGAAAGCTCGCGAATTTGAATTTTGAAGGCCATCGCCATTTTGGTTTCCAGACTAGCAACGGAGATATTAACCCAATCCTTCTGACTTACACACTCTCTCCCTCCACACACATACACACACTCCGGGCATATCTTTCTGTTCTGAGTTTCTGTTTTTCAGGCCCTTTTTGTTTTCTATAACTCAAATTCGTGCTTTCTGGGTTTTGTTTTGTTTTGCTGATCAGATGATTCATGGATGATGATTTTTTTGGGATTTATGTTTGTTTGCCAGTTCTTCATCACGTTAAGAAAGGGAGGAAGATTTCCACGGAAGAAGCTTGCTGGTTGTTTTGGCGTTAGTTTTTATTTAAATTTTTCTGCTTTAATATTCACCATCACTCTTGCTTTGCTGACCATCTCCGCTGACAAATTTTAGTTTGTGAATGAGCTGCAATGACTCAATTAAAATGACGCTGTTTTGATTGATTAATGAAACGTTTGTAGCCGCTGGATAAAATGAAGGGCTGAGATTAGGAGCATTATGGGGCAGTGGACAAGGCACAGCAGACACGTTTGCCCACGACAATGCCAGCCCACCCACGAGCCTGAAGAAATTAACAGAAGCTGTTAATATAATTACATGGCAGCAGCAAAAGGCTATATAATTATGCCAGGACACAGTCACAGAATTTTTCTCACATTTAAAAGTAACGGCCCACAGGATATAAAGAAACAGAATTGGGTAAGCAGCCCCATAATGTTTTTAACTGTTTTTATTGGTACGTTTGAATTAAAAAGGTTTTATAAAATGGACCGAAGTGAGTATCGGCGATTCTATGTTCTTCCAGCGAACCCCAACACACTAGAGTATTCAGTTCTATGTTACCTCACATATCATTTTGCCTGTTTCGAGTGACTATGGACATTTAGCTTACCTCCCCATGGATTGTGCTCCATGTTCTTCAGAGAACAACTGTGAGAAATGTTCGGCATTAATTTGGCATATTCCATATTATGCTATTGATAACTTACCTTCTGGGTTTTGGGAAGCTGATATACTCAACAATTTGATTCTGCATGGGAGTGACCACTATAATCAATAAATTAATTGTGCATGTCTTCTCTGCTCAATGAATTAATTCAATGTTCTGACTGCCTTTAGACTTTGGTCATTGTCTTACAATCTTCACTAGGCAACAACCTCTTTCAGTGTAATAAAGGGTTTGGTACAATCTGTAAGTGGCAGAATAACCAGAGGCTTAAATTTTCCATGTAGATTGAGATACTTCTGTCCGTGATCTTTATTGTTAAACATGTTCGTGGATCTAAAATTATGAATCATGTACTATATTTGCACCCTTACCGTTCCATATTATTAAGTCCTGATATTATATGATGTTTCTTTTTTGTCTTCTTGTTGCATTACCTCCAATCGGGAGTGTGTGTGTAGTGGTTCTAAAAGTTTGAATAGCTGAGATCCATGATTAAATTACAGATAATCTTAGAACTTTTTGGTACTGTTAAAAAAATGATAATAGGCATTTAATCTTACCACCGCATTTATCTATCTATTAACTAAAATATCCCTCATGTTATGGCACCCTACCACTTAGGATAAAATTTTTACAGATATGGTGCTACTCAGAAAAAGAAAACCATTAGAATGGAACCTTGGTAAAGAAAATCAGTTGCATGTAGTTAATTTGAGAAGAAGATACAAGGAAAAATGACACTTGAGAATTCATAACTTACAAAGTTTACAATTAAAGGCTCTAAAAATCAAAATTTGTCTCGAAGACTACAAACAAGTTATCACTAATATTCCTTAGTTAAATTTATAATTTATGATCTCCGAATTCATTTAAAGAAGATCATATTACTTTAGGACGAGTAATGCCCTTGGAATGTGCTAGTAGTAACTTATTCTTATGATGCTTAGGATGAATCTTAATTTTAAGGTTTTTGATCCTCAATATTATATAAGTTATAAATCCTTGATGTCATTTTTCCATGATACAAGATACGTCGTTATGTTGAGACTAGGGGCTCATCCAAAATCTTGCAGGAAGACCGTGCAGAGGAACTGGAAATGGGTTATAATGAACTCCACCCTGACATCCTACCACCTCCCACCTGCCAGTCATTGAGTCCTAAGTTAATTTCCTCAATAGATAAGGACTCATAAAGTAAATACACAGATTTAGTTAGGAAATTGACATGTTTTTCTATAAATGACACCAGGTTTGAGAAAAAATAAACATCACAAACCTCGTACTATCATAGTTTATGATATGAAATTTATATTTTGTACATTGATGCTGATAAATATAAATGTCAACTGACTTCAAGATAGAGAGATGTTACCTTAGTTTGGTCACCAAGTGATGAATTAAAATCAGCATGTTCAGCTTGGCAAGCTCATTGCCAGGACAAGAGTGCACTCCCTTCCCAAACGGCATAAAAGTATTGGGCTTTGGTGCAACCTGAACTCATCCACAAATAAAATCAACTCCAAATGCTTAATTACGAGAACTAAGTGAATCATTTTGCTTGAGCATATTATTTTCACCTGAAATCTTGATGGGTCAAAATTGTGAGGATCTAGGAAGTATTCTGGATTATGATGGATGTTCCTGAACAGTGGCATGACTTTCCAACCCTTTGGTATGAGATATCCTGAGCAGTTCACAGTAAGTTTGGATATCAGTAAAACTTTGTCATTAAGAAGAACTTATCATATTTAATAAAAGAATGTTCTGTTCAAAATCATTAATTACCATTGTATACTACATCAACCGTAGCTTCCCTATAGGTAAAAGATATGATGCTTGCCATCCTCAAGCTTTCCAGTATCACCTGCAAAACAAAATCCTTCTTTTGAGAAATTCATTCATGAAGTTGCTTTGAAACTCAGACTAGGAACTAAGTATTGCAGCAGCAGCAGTTACCCTATAAGTAAGCGGCATCGTTCTGGTCTGACCCCATGTCAAGGGTTTCTTCCCTCCATCATTGGCTTCATGAATGGCCATTTGTTCTTCCTATGTATATTACAACTGGTTGGTCAGCTAAGAGGCGTAAACATAGTGCCATAATGTCTCAGACATGAATGTGAAAAACTCGAGTCTATCTTACTTTTATTGCTTCAAGAAGTTTCGGGTGATCATGGAGATACTTGAGAATCCATGTCAGAACACTAGCTGTAGTGTCTTGAGCTGCAAATAGAACCCCAACCAGATTATCAGCAATTTGGTCATCAGTTAGTGTTTGTCCCTTTTCATCCTTGTAGCTCAGCAGGTGACCCAAAAGGTCATCCTCCATCAATCTCTTCTCTTTTCTCTTGTAAATTATCTCTCTGATAATCTCTTGGATTCTTCTCCTAGCCTATCAGAATTCATCAGACACAGAAAGAGATAGAGAATAAGATCCATGTTCTCAACAACTTGCTATCAAGAATTTTATAGGATGTCAAATTTACCGAGAATGCCCGGGAATATGTGGTTCCTGGAATCCTGTTTGGGAAAGAATTATAGCCTCTCTCTACTATGCAATAATTCTCCTTAAGCTGCTCTTTATAATTGCCTTCCAAGTAACCAAACACCGATAGGATGCCAATATTAAACGAGAACTATCAAGAATGAAGAAAAGCCATTTGAGTTGGAAATGCCAAACATAGGTTTAAACCAGAAAGCTGATGCAGAATAAAAATGTCCGTGGCATCGTACAATCAGAACTTTTAGTATAGTTTGCAACTAACCTTCTTCATGCTCTGAAAAACATTAATGACTTGACCAGCAGAAATCCAGGACTTCAAAGTCGAGACGGCCTCAGCTTCTATATAAGGAGTAAGTTTTCGGACTCTTTCAGGGGATAAAGAAGTTTGCACCAGCCTCCTAATCCTTGCATGGTAGTCTTCTTGGTAGAAGAACAATGCAGAAGGGCCTATGAGCATCTCTTTGCTTTTGGGGTAGGTAGGCTTGAACAAGTGAGCATGAGTGACGAGTACAAACCTTGCAGCCTCAGGGCTAGCCAGCATCACAGAGGGACAACCCAGCACATGGGTTTTAAAAATTGCTCCATATCTGATCAACATAAGAGCGAACAAGTGAATTATGTATCAACCCTATGCATGCAAGATTAAGGAACCCTGAAAAAGATGAGAACCTTTTCTGCTTTAGAGCAAAAAATACATTTGGGTCCTCAGAGTAAAGTTGAGGAGTCTCTCCAATATAAGGCCAACCCATGGAACCTGGGGGAAGAGTTGGGGTACCTTTGGGTTTCTTGTGTTTCTTTATAAAGAGACAACAAAGGATCAAAAGTAAGAAAAAGAGGATCATGTATACAAATGTAGCCATAAGCACTGATCTCTGTTTATGAATTGTGAACTCCTCTTATCTAAATGTGAAGCCAACAATGAGATAGCGTCTGCTATATATAGAAGCGGCATGAAGACGATAGGGACAGCTAACTACATTTATTTTTCTAAATAAGGTTAAGTACAAGCTCTCCAAAAATCTGATTCTGACACGACTGTAACAATCACTGTTCATATAACTGCGGGAAGAAAGTCAATAAAAGTGAATAACATATACTTATAGGATATTTATCACATTTGTTTCTAAAGGAAAATAAAGGACAATTTGGATTAGAAAACGATAGCCAACTGAAGAAAAAAAAGAAGATGCCTCCGGAGCGAAATGGAGATAGAGCTCTTTGGTTCTGCCTTTTCTTTTGTCACAGTTTTCTAGCATACCAAGAAGGATTAAAATTCTAGTTTCACTTTGCACTAACTATTACCGCTTGAATTAGTCTCTAGTGTTTTTAGCACTATGACACCCTCTTTCGGGCTACCATCATTATGCTGGTTGCCTACTGATAATGCTTCTTCCTTCTCTATGACATGTGCAAGCTCCATGAGAAGTGCTTGAGAAAGTTTGTGAATCAAGCTTAATTAATGACGCTACCTAGTACGTACGAATTTTTGTGGATACTCTCACTTTGCTAGAAGTAATCAACTTCTCTGCCGTTACCTAATATGCGTATGTGATTCGGACTCTGATCTCAAAGTTTTAAAAGAGCATCTCTTTCTCAGAAAAAAGAACATGATACCGGATTCATGTTCGGATCCCCTGCACCTTATATTTGTCTGTATCTGTAATTTGAAATATATTTAAGATGGTTCATCACAACGTGGAGAACTATCATGGACCCTTGTAGTGATTTAACAGTTGTCAGAGTGGGGATCGTTACAAAGATTTCAAGAGGAAGAAATCGGAAGATGGAGGGGCGATATCCCTCAACCCCAAATTCCGAAGCTAATGTGAAGAAGATTGATTGGACGGAGTCTGTTAACATTCTAATTCATAATTAGGTTATAAGTTACCATAGCCCAGTGGGACCCAGTGATCCGATGGTGTTAGTGTACTATTTCTTGTCCTAATTATAAAAGCTAGTTGACTAATTTAATAAGATTAAAGTAATAAATTAAATTAGTTATTTGTAATAAATATGTGTTGTCTTTTCTAAAATATCTTTGTTAATCAAGTTTATTAGCTAGAACTACTATGATTAGAAGGACTATCTTAAAAAAATATAAATATAAGAGATAAAGTAAATTAAAATCTTATAATTAAAATAAAATAAAAATTAAACAAAATCTAAGAAGCGGAAGTATTACAGTTCATGTACCGAGAGATCCTTGAAATTCTCAGACCAGGTGACTGGCCCCACTTTTAATATCTTGTTCCCATATGAATGTCGACGTGGGGGTGGTGGTGCGAACGTGGTCCGCGTGACGTTATTCCCCATAAAGCAGAAGTCGGGCGCTAAACTAGATCCATACGTGGCCGTCAAAGATTGATGAGTCTCCACGTGTCAATATCATGGTGGTCCTGATCCCAAAGCTTGAAGGCCAGAAGAAAGTCATATAGTGCTTTGAAAATTGCAAGGCTCTTCTAAAAATAATTTTTAAACTAACTCCTTCTAATTTTCTTCTCCTGCGCAGCCTAGTTAAATATGACTAAAGTTTAAAAAAAAAATTATGATTTGAGATAAATTTAATAAGTTAACATAATCTTTTAGTTCTGATGAAGTAATTAAAGTACTTTAAATTGTAGATCATGGGAGTACTATCTCCTTACTTATTAGTTATTAGTATAAAACATCTTTTAAAAGAAAGATGGGTGTTATACTTAATGGGGCATTAATAAAATTTTTCATTTGAATATGGATAAAATAAAAAATTTATCTTATTTTCAGAAAAGTTAATACCTTAATCATCTCTCCTTTATTTTGATAAGATACTTCCTCTTGTCCATGATATAAGTTATTTTAACAACTTCATCAGACCCAAAAAAATGGTCATTAATTTATCAAATTCACCTCAAATTAATTTTTTTTCCCAACTATACTCATAGTAAATGAAGTTGTAAAGAAGAGGAAAAAAAATACCATAAATTATATTTAAGTATTAATTGTGAGAATAAAATTGATAGATAAGTATGAATTAATGTTCTGAATCACGAATGTTTTAGACAATAGAAATTATTTAATGATTCGACTTTGTATGGGGGGAGGACATGTCGGCTTTAACTTACTTTTTACGATGTCACCCATGCGCAGATGCCTGCATTTGACGATCTCATGTAGTACTGCTACTTATCTTTAATATAAAATTTTGTTTAATTTTTATTTTGATTTTAAATATAAGATCTCAATCCGTTTTATTTCTCATATTTATATATTTTTTTAAAATATTTTTTCTAATAATAATAATTTTAGTTAATATAATTGATTAGCAAGGATGTTTTATGAAAGACAATACCTGTTTATTATAAATAACTAACTTAACTTATTTTTTTAATATTCTCAAATTAGTTAATTAGCTCTTATAATTAGGACTGTATAAGAAAGAAATAGTTTAGTGACCCTAATGTTTAATTGCAGATTTTAGGATAAGATAGGATTCGGTTTCGGATTTTTGGTGATCAACACCGTATCTACATCCTCCAATTTAATATAAATTTATTTTTTATATTTTTAATTCATATGTAATCTAAAGTAAAATATCTCTTTACCATCATTTCTGTCGAAAAAATATTTTCTACTCTTATTAATTAAAAATTTCAAACACAAATTTTTGAAACTATATTTAAAACTGTACAACATCCAGCAACAAGCATAAGCTTAAAGATGAAAAAACAAAACAGCAGACTAAACAACATCTAAACTAAGCAGACATATGCTACACAAATTGTCAATCCTATTATTTACTTGTTAACTTATACTATCTTCTATCTTTAATATAAGAGTTAGTAGACTAATTTGAGTAGATTAAGTGAACTAATTAAGTTAGTTATTTGTAATAAATAAGTCTTATCTTTATTAAAATATTTTTACTAACCAAGTGTATTGGTTAGAACTACTATTATTACAAAGATTACCTTAAAAAAGGGGAATAAACATGAGAAATAAAATGAATTGGGGTATTATATTTAGAACAAAAATAAAAATCAAACGAATTCTTATATTAAAGACTCAAGATAGTATCTAGCTGGGATGGTTGTCCCACTTTTCATGTTAATCAAATGACACAACACGGCATTAAGTTTTGTTGGGATAAAATTTGAACTATAATTCAATAGAAAAAGATGTAGATCCCATGTTAAAACCAATTATAGATCACATAGGCCTCGAACGGTGCATGGGCTAAGTACTGTAAGTCATACTGTTCCGATACCTTCCAAACAGGGACAAGGTCTTCAGTCCCAAAAAAAAAAAAGAAGAAAGAAGAAATAAATAGGGACAAGGTCATCAGTTCATCACAAGAGTTAAAAACAGAACAACCAAACACAGAACTATTCCCATGCCATGCGCAGCCTAACAAGCTACCTGCAGGCCAATTATGGAACAATCTCAATGACCCGCAAATGTATTGGCGGCATTCTTCTCTCAGCTCTGTTGTTTCTCCCCCAACTTTTTCTCTACAAGTTTTTTTCCGAGCTCGATCTTCTAGATACTAATAACATTAGAACTGGCAATCTGACTGTTCCATATGCTGCTGTTAAAAAGATGTCCGTTTCCCTTCTAGTGCAGAGATGCATAGGCAAAATTTTTATGGTAATTCGCATAACAATCTTCAAGCTTAAAATTCTGATCCGTATCATGCTTAGCTTCTTACCTATTATCTGAAAACCTAACCGTTCTGTTTTCTATTTAAGGAAAAAAAAAAAGTGTTGATGAGATACCAATTTGGCAAAAGTGATTCTTCCTTTACCAGCATCAACCTAGATCTCATCATTGCAGGGGGAGCATCACATCAGTACACTAGTACAGTTAAATTTCATTTGGTAACATTGAGAAGAGAATTACAGATCTTGTAGTTACCTAAGATCTTCAGTTTAAGTCTATTTCTGTTTCCTGCTTAAGGTTATTTTCCCATCATGATTTGTGGTTGTGTCATGAATGACGACAACAGATTCCATAATAACTACCAATTTGTATGAAGGGGATAAAAAAGAAGTGAAAAAAAGGAATATAGAGGCCCAGAGACGTAACACTTTATCAACTATTCCTGTTATCAGGTACCATTCTTTAATGGATTAGAGTGTTCCCTATGACTGATTTTCCGATCTTATCAACTTTCTTGCTCATCTCTATTATTGCGTCTGAGAAGAAAATGAAAGGAACAAAGATATCTCTACTGTTACAAATTGTCCGCCCATGCTAAAAAGCAGAGGAAAATACGAACCCAATCTATCATCTCTTTCAAAAAGATCCGGGTGATCTATAAAGAGCCGTAGATGTCATATCATTCGACTGTCGCGTTATTTTCATTTTTGTTCAAACAAACATTTTACGTGGACCTGATGTATCAAAGAATATATAAACTGACTTAACAACTTATGAGCATGCAAGTATATGAACTGTACACTTTTTTTATTTCTCATAACTGGTTTGGGATGCATAACTTCTAACAAGTCTACCTAAAATCTCTCCCATAATTATATTCTTCCACAGGGCAAACAATCATGGCCGAGTTCAAAGTGAGCGAGATTAATTTTGGAACTCACGGGTTGACGTAGCTATCTAGCTAGGCCATGGGTATAATCAACAGAGGCACCACCAGTGAATCTTCTCATTAGATATGCGAAGAGATTGCAAGAGATAAAAGCCAAACCAGTACGACTCTGCCATGTTCCTCTCCTTTGGAATTCGGAATATATCATTGATTCCTTGGTGGATTTGCACTTTTTCCCCACACTCAACTCACCACAAACGTGCCCCATCCACAGAGCTCTTTATTGCTTCGAACTGTGCCAAATCCAAGCGCACTTTTGCTCCACTGCAACTAGTACCACTTGACAGATGCCAGCGCGCTATATGCTAAGCTTGATTCAATGGATCAGATCGACAAACACATTAGGTGCAATATATCATTATGCAGTCCTCGTGAGCTTGGTGAGGTACAAGAGGCGAGTTAGTCAGTATACAATGATAGATGTGCAAATAGAACTGCTCTTTATACAATTAAACAGACACTTTTTTTTTCTGTTGACCCGTGTATGCCTAAATCCATAAGGACAGTATACTATGCAATTCAATGGATCAAATCATCAAACACCTAGTGTGCTGTAATTTTGGAGTTCTTATGAAGTTAAACAGCCCCAGACCTGCAAATAACATCGTTCTTTGAACAATTAGATACCCTTCCGTTGCTTCTTTTGACTAACAGAAGCCTTATCTCATATGAGCTATATGATCTGAGCTTATCCTCATCTAGGGCCGCAAAGACAAAATTCCACCTCCACCAGAGAATAGTCAAGTGCAGCGAGCAGAATATAAATAGAAAGCAATGAAAATGCCACCATTCATTCATTCACTCGAAGCAGTAATCTGTGTATGCTTATGAGCCCTCTATGGAGTAAAGAATGCAGGTTGAACACGGCACTTGTTGCCATGATCTGAGGCACAGGTTGAAACAAATGGATTTCCGTGAATGGCTTCAGAAATTACTATCAATAGAACCAAAAATTCTTCACTATGCGTGTTCACATTTCTTGGAGGTAGCTTACATTCTCCCAAATTCCCTCACCATTGCTCTGTCGCTTTCGTCTTAGCCATCACTTTCACGTAAGATTCTAATTAAACAGGCACTGTGTCCTCCACATTGGTCGGTGGGTTTATTGTGCTGTTTATTGAAAAAAACAAAAAAAAATCTATAAAGCTGATGGCCTTTTGATTCCAATTTTGGAAAATCTGAGTAGCTTCCATACACAAACTTTTAACCATCAGAGTTTAGAACAGGTTACCAACTAAATTAACTTGTGAGAAGACTCGTGTCCATTCTATTATATCCATTATAACCAATTCCTTTAATCAGATTTCAATAATAAAGTTTTTTCTTATTTCATTATTTATTTAGTTTTAATGAACTATAATTATATTTTATAGTAAAATTAATTATTGATATTTTATTGAAAAATTGATAATAATTAATACTCCTCCGGTCCTTAATATAGGATCCAATTGCTGAGTTGATTTTGGTCCTAAATATAAGACCTATTTCTTATATTTATCAATTTTCTCTAAATTACCCATATGTATATTCTCTCAACCATAATCAAGTAGAAGAGGGAGATGGGGTATTAAGAAAGATGATTATGGTGTTTTAAGAAAAACGTGTCACATTTCTTATAATCAACTAACTTATTTAACTTCCTTAATATAATCAAATTAGTTAAATAGATCTTATATTAATGACTGAAGGAGTACAAAAGAATGAATCTAAGTTTTATTCGTTAAATTATAGCCACTTACAATAGTGTTTTAAGAATACATTATTTTATCATGATAAAAATGGAATTTTATGGATACCGTGTAAAGGCATCTTTTGAGTTGTGACATTCTCAAGATTCAATTCATGTAATGTAACCTTTTCTACAATTCAATGAGTTACCCTTTTCTTACTTTTTTGGATTCCCAATCAAATGTTTCAAAAAACTTTTGTTTTTGTAATTTATGAATGGTAACTTAATGATATTAGAATAAACTTCAATCTCACAAAAATGAAGGGAAAAAGACAAGAGCTGATTTAGTTCGCCATTAGGAGATAAACTTTTGTTTTATTATATGCTGTTTTCACGTCTCATATGCCAACTTTTATTTTCTAGAAGATTTTCTGCCTCACTGCTTTGTTTTTAACAAGATGCGTGACAATAATATTAGCTCGGCATTCTTAGGTCTCGTTTGTTATGAAGCATTGAAAAGAAAAGATCAAGACTGGGATTGCAATTAAAAAAATTATTTAAAAAATATTTAGCATGAGTAATTACTTTTCACATGAGATTAAAAAAACCTGTGAAAGTGGGATTGAGTAATACCATCTCTTCTTATTTTATAGTAAAATTAAATTATTGATATTTTATTGAAAAATTGATAATAATTAATACAAAAGAATGAGTCTAAGTTTTATTCGTTAAATTATAGCCACTCACAATAGTTTTTTAAGAATGCATTATTTTATCATGATAAAAATGGAATTTTATGGATACCGTGTAAAAGCATCTTTTAAGTTGTGACATTCTCAAGATTCAATTCATGTAATGTAACCTTTTCTACAGTTCAATGAGTTATGCTTTTCTTAATTTTTACTAGCTTGGCATTCTTAGGTCTCGTTTGTTATAAAGCATTGAAAAGGAAAGATAGGAATTGAGATTACAATTAAAAAAAATTATTAAAAAATTATTTAGGATGCGTGATTGCTTGTCATATTAGATTAGAAACACCTATGAAGGTGAATTGAGTAATACCACTTCCTCTCATTTTATAGTAAAATTAAATTATTGTATTGATATTTATAGTATATACTAAATACTCTTTTAATAAATTTTTTCAATATCAATCCCAATCCCAATTTCTTATTTTTAATTCTTCGCTCAAATGTATTTTAATGTTTTCTTATTTTTGGTTACCATATCTTTTTATGTTGTTTTGTGTGCAATATGTCCGTCGAAATTGGGCATATTCAAAGAATTTGTTTCAGAGGATATGAAAATATTAGACACGTATGCTCACAACGTGTCAACATAAGGCTCAGCCGCTCAGGTTTGAAATCTTATCCAAATATAGCGGGTGGTATTGTAACTGGTACACCTAGCCGTTCACAATTTTCCTCCTTGTTCAACTCCACATCTCATTTGCTGTTTTAATGTCCATTCTCATTTCTTTGGGCTTTGGGTCATTCTATTTGGGGAAAAAAAAAATTAGAACAGTCTTTCCATAATAACAAGTAATTTACACGCGGCCAGTCTTTTATGTCTCTCTAGATTGCTCATAATGGGCTTAAGCCTAAGGCCCAGGTGGGTTAAGCTCCATGTCAAATACCGGCCCATCTTTCGAAAAAGAAATTAATATTTAATATTAAAAGATATACTCATCCGGTCCTTATCATAAATATCTTCCATCCAGTAATTCGGTCTAAAAAAGACAAAGACCCAAAAGGCCCCGGTCCACAGCGTGGGTTTGGCCAACACGCGATAAAACAATAAAGAAGCCAACCTACTGACTTACTGAGACAACGAAATATCACGACATTGTACGACAAACAAGATGCAAAGGACACGGCAACAAAAATTCACAATTACATTCGAATTTCATAGACACTGTAGAGAGTTTCGATACCGTCTGCTTGTTTCTCACAGAAAAGATGAGAAGTGAACAGAAAGAGATTCAGACACAAAAGTGAACACCACAAGTGCATTTTAATACTTGACTTCTTCAGGTGGGCGGCGACGGACGCTCAAGTCCTGGATAAGAGAATTTAAATCGGAATAGGATGAACCTCCTTCTTCCACTGCCTTTCTTGCTTTCAGAGCCAGCAACTTTGCTCTGTCCCTCAGTTCTTCTGCTTCTTCCCCTTCCATGACTCTCTTCACAGCTCTCTCTATGGCATCCCATTTCATACTATCTCCCGTCACTCTCACCCATTTTGTGACCCCTACAGGCACACCAATTTTAAGTACCTCAGTCACCAACTTCTCATTGTAAAATTGCTCTGCATACACAGGCCATGTCACCATTGGAACTCCTCCACACACTGATTCCATTGTTGAGTTCCAACCACAGTGGGTCACAAAAGCTCCGATTGCTTTGTGCTCAAGAATCTTCCCTTGTGGTGCCCATCCTCTTATGATCAGCCCTCTACCTTCCACTCTTTTCTCGTATCCTGCATCAGGCAGCCATCGTTCTTCTTGCTGTTGTTCGTCTTTCTTGGGTTTTCTCACGACCCAGATGAATTGTTGGCCTGAAGCTTCCATACCCATTGCGATTTGTCTGAGCTGGGATTCTGGGAAGTTCGTCACACTTCCAAAGCAGACGTAAACGACAGAGTTGGGTTTCTTCGCGTCAAGCCACTTGAAGCATTCGTGTTCCTGTGTTGCTGATTTTTCCTCTGTTTTCCGGTCGCGGAGAGAAAGCGGGCCGATATGCCAAGATTTTCTTCCGAGGACATTCCTGTAATGATCGGCATAGTCCTTCTCCAGTTCGTAGAAGCTGTTGACAACCACCCCGTAGCACGTAAGCTCCGCTTCCTTGGAAGCAAACAACAGTCTGCTCACTATGGTGTCTTCATTATATTTGAGAAAATCTGGCACCTGCGACCTCGTCATCGTGATTTCACCAGGAAGATTAGGAATGACGAATGGCTCTGAATCTGAAGAAACATGGTCGTGAGGCCTGTAGAGTCTGAGACATTCGGAAGCACACAAGGCGAAGAGACCAGTACCGTGAAACACGATGGCAGGAATCCCAAACTTGGCTGCAGAATCAGTGGCCCATGGGAAGAACATATCAGCGACGAGACAGTCAGGAAGGGACTGCTGCAACACTTGCTCCAGTGGCTCTTGAAGCAGAGTAGTGGCTTCGAAGAATGCGCGCATCAAATCTGGAGAAGGGATTGAGTTCATACTCTCGCAGCCTTGAGGGAAACCAACCTGCTCACAAGGGAAATCGATGGTTTGGATATGAATGGGAGAATTGAAGGATGGAAGTGATTCGGAAATAATAGGAGCGTTGAGAGGAGTGGTGACAATGGTGACCTTAACTCCTCTGGCTGCAAATAAATTGGCAATGCTAATGGCAGGAATTATGTGGCCATGGGCAAGGAAGGGAAAGAGGATTATGTGAAGAGGACGATTCTCAGAACCCATATTTTTCAGGGATGAAAGTTCAGATCTTGCAGGTGAAATTCAAGAGGACGAGTAAGAGGAATTTGTTTTTTTGTGTGCAGGCAGGCCCGATGATGTGCCCGTTTGCGGTGTTTGTCTCTTCAAATACTCATAAACAGGCGTGGCCTTGACCTTGACTACTGAGGCGCATTCCCCACGGAAATGCCAAGGAAGAATTTTGATGTGAGCTGCCAGAAATAAATGGCCATTACTCCCTCTGGGAGTAGGGCAGAAAGGTCTACCTTTCTGCCATGAACGTCGTTGCGTTTTATTCAATTGGATTCTTTCATTTCTTACGTGATTGTCCTCAGTTTTCATGAAGTCACTCCTAACTTTTTAATATTTTAGTCAAATTTTATCCTATTTCTCATTCTATCTTGTAATTATTTTTTAGATTAGTACTCCTTTTCAACAATCAGCGATGGTTATAATTCTTTTTTTCCACGTAATGTTAATGTTTGGTTTTCATGGATAGAAAATTTACATTAGAAGAAATTTTCCGATTTTGATCTAATAATGGTAGAGTGTATTTTAAAAGTAAATTTTATTGATAGAAAAATATTAAAAGAGTTAAATTAATTTAAATTAGAAAAAACATGATTTTTGTTATTAAAGTTGCCCCTTTTTACAAAGGATTTAAGTTTCGCAATTGGAGTTGAGAACCGTACAGTTTTTTTAGCCATCGAAATTATAGTAGTAACTTCTATTATATTAGCTGCGGTCCTCAATATAAGAGTTATGTGACTAATTTGAGTAAATTAAAAAAATTTATTAAGTTAGTTATTTTTAATAAATAGGTAGTGTCTTTCCTAAAATATTCTTATTAATTATATATATTAGTTAGAACTATTATTTGATGGAACATTTAACATGTGTAACTATTACAAAAATTATTTTTAAAAAAATAAATATGAGAAACAAAGTAGATTGAGGTTCTTATATTTAACAAATTAAAAATCAAACTATAAGAATAAGAGGTGGTATATAGTTACAATTATTGATATGGCGTCATATTGAGTGACAGTAATCATAATGATGATTTTGACTAAAGTTAATCATCAGTTAATAATTCATGAACTAATTCTTTATTAGAAAAAGTCGAAAAACTACGCGATCTCCATTCGCCTGAGTTTGATTACAGTTTTGAGAACAAAATCTCCATTGCTTTCTTTTTTTCTCAAAGCTGTACGTCCATCCTTCTTATGTATACTTTTCTAATCCTAGGAGGAAAAAAAATCTTTTTATACTATTTATTAGTCACGTTATTAAACTTTTCATATAAGCGTGAGATTTGACTACATTTATGATTGAATAGACTTTATACTCATGAGGTAAAATACATATTAATATGAGTAAAATTGAAAATTTATTAAAATTTGGTACATAATTAGTAAGATTTAAGATTTTTTTTTAGTTTTGATGAAAAATATTGAAAATGACTTATTAGGAGTAAATTACAATTTTTTAAGATAAGACCGACCTTTTTCATAAATTTCACTTTGTATTTGGCTGAAAATTTATTTTGTTCCGATTTTATCTCTAATTATAACTAAGCTATTATCTCTTATGCCTATCTCGTTCATTCTCTCTTATTTACTCTCTTAGCAGAAAAAGGTATATTTGAAAGAATATACCCTTCTTTGTATATTGCTCTGGTCTGAACCTCGCATGTTCACATTTTATCTGCCACTTCAGTTTGTCCTTGACAATTCCAATTTCTGCAACGGATATAGGAATTCTGGTGAATATCTTATCTTTAATATAAGATTTTGTTTGATTTTTATTTTAATCCTAAATATAACATCCTAATTCATTTTGTTTCTCATATTTATATATTTTTTTTCAAGATAATCTTTCCAACAATAGTAGTTCTAATCAATATAGTTGATTAATAAGGATATTTTAGAGAAAATAATACTTATTTATTACAAATAACTAATTTAACTTATTTTTTTAATCTTTTTAAATTAGTCAACTAATTTTAGGATCGAGCGTAGTATTAAATTTGTAGCTTTTGTAATATAATGAGGTTTATTTCATCAATGAAAAATGAACTTTTATTATGTAGGATGTGAAGGAATAATTCTATGGTGAAGATACTGGCCAACATAAACAACAAAGCATTGCGAAATTCAAGGGCAAAAGAGATGCAAAGTGCACACACTACAAAGTTTCCGTAAGGAGCATTGAAGCTGGCCCCGCTTATCTGCGTACCAAAACCTAAACCCAGTTCGCTACGAATACAAAGAAGAGCTGGGAAAGCAGCGATCTACTAGAATGGGAAGGGAAACAAAACAATGCCAAATAGAAACACTTCAACATTTGCATCTAACATTCTAATATTTGATTTCTTCAGGGGGACAGCGACGCCGGCTCAAGTCCTGAATTAGAGAATTCAAATCTGAGTAGGATGAACCGCCCTTTTCCACTGCCTTTCTTGCTTTCAGAGCCAGCAACTTTGCTCTGTTTCTGAGTTCCTCTGCTTCTTCCCCTTCCATCGCTCTCTTCACGGCTTTCTCTATAGCATCCCGTTTGATACTATCTCCCGTCACCCTCATCCATTTTGTAACTCCCACAGGTACACCAATTTTAAGTACCTCAGTGACCAATTTCTCATTGTAAAATTGCTCTGCAAACACAGGCCATGTCACCATTGGCACCCCCCCACACACTGATTCCAATGTTGAATTCCAACCACAGTGTGTCACAAACGCTCCGATTGCTTTGTGCTCAAGAATCTTCACTTGTGGTGCCCATCCTCTTATGATCAGGCCCCTACCTTCCAATCTTTCCTCGTATCCTTCATCAGGCAGCCATTGTTCTCCTTGCTGTTGTTCGCCTTTCTGGGGTTTTCTCACTACCCAGATGAATTGTTGGCCTGAAGCTTCTAGACCCATTGCGATTTCTCTGAGCTGGGATTCTGGGAAGTTCGTCACACTTCCAAAGCAGACGTAAACGACAGAGTTGGGTTTCTTCGCGTCAAGCCACTTGAAGCATTCGTGTTCCTGTGTTGCTGATTTTTCCTCTGTTTTCCGGTCGTGGAGAGAAAGCGGGCCGATATGCCAAGATTTTCTTCCGAGGACATTCCTGTAATGATCGGCATAGTCCTTCTCCAGTTCGTAGAAGCTGTTGACAACCACCCCATAGCTCGTAAGCTCCGCTTCCTTGGAAGCAAACAACAGTCTGCTCACTATGGTGTCTTCATTATATTTGAGAAAATCTGGCACCTGCGACCTCGTCATCGTGATTTCACCAGGAAGATTAGGAATAACAAATGGCTCTGAATCTGAAGAAACATGGTCGTAAGGCCTGTAGAGTCTGAGACATTCGGAAGCACACAAGGAGAAGAAACCAGTGCCGTGAAACAATATTGTAGGAATCCCAAACTTGGCTGCAGAATCAGTGGCCCATGGGAAGAACATATCAGCGACGAGACAGTCAGGAAGGGACTGCTGCAACACTTGCTCCAGTGGCTCTTGAAGCAGAGTAGTGGCCTCGAAGAATGTAAGGATCAAATCTGGGGAAGGGACTGAGTTCATATTCTCGCAGCCCCGAGGGAAACCAACCTGTTCACAAGGGAAATCGATGGTCTGGACTTTGATCAAAGTATTGAGAGATGGAAGTGATTTGGAAATAATAGGAGCGTTGAGTGGAGTGGTGATAATGGTGGCCTGAACCCCTCTTGCTGCAAATAATTTGGCCATGTCAATGGTAGGAATTACGTGGCCATGGGCAAGGAAGGGGAAGAGGAATATGTGGAGAGGGAGACTCTCAGAGCCCATGTTTTTGAAGGTGGACAAGTTCAGATTTTGCGGGTGAAACTCGAGAAGAAGAGGAACGGAGAATGATCGTGGGGTGCAGACAGGGCCGATGATGTGCACAGGCCTTCACTATTCGTCTCTTTAAGAAGCCGCGGCCTTCCCCTCCTTCTGTGTATTTTTAAACAATAAAAGTGAAAATGGTGAGCTTCTAGAATTGAATGGTCTCTACCGGTTCTGGGAGGGCAAAAAGGTGTTTGGATATCATGAATATAAATTTTTTATTCAATTGAACTCTTTTTACGTGCATCAAAAATATGTTAATAAAAAATTTATAAAACAAATAAATTGATTTGTAATTCAGCTTACATGTGTGCTTTTGATTTACTGAGTTTTGTAAAATTTTTATTTGGTTTAGAAAATGAACAGCATTGTGTCGGACTTACAAAAATACTCCCTAAGATTTTAAATACATGGTATTTTTCAGAACATTGTCTTGGTCCACAATATGATGTATCATGGAGCAATGAGATTTTTTTTACATGAAAAACATTTTCCTGGTGATGGGACTTTACCATTAAATTATTTAATGATTATTCGTCCAGTAATCATGTTTTGATTGGTTGGATTTATTAGCTTTATACTTAATGAAATTTAATTTTGTTTTTGATAGTAATGAAATTTAATTCTGCCTTTGATAGTAATGAAATTTAATTTTGGATTCATCAAGATAAAGACGAATGATTGGTTTTTTTGTTCTTTTCACGATTTACAAATATAACAGATTTTTTTCCTTAAAATACATGGCATAATTGGAAGTGTGTTATATTTAAGATAAGGAAGAGAGAGTATTAAAATTCATCTTACTAAGCACCATGACGTGATGGCAAAAGGATTCCATTTCTGTAACCAAAAAAAGGATTCCATTTTGGTTCAGTTGAGTTGAGAACTTTGGTGCTTGAATCTTGTAATGTCTATGGCAGATCGCCTGCCCTTCATCAAGTTTGGCTTATCTCGCCCGGGAAGCCACTTAGAACATATTTTCTGTAATCCCATATATAAGACATAAATAACAGAATTATACAAATAAAAAATTAATTAAAATTGATTCTAAACAGTAAATGCATAAAAAATATTTTTTAATATATTATTATTTATGGAGAGGATGATTAAGAGGGAAAATGAGTGGAAAAAATGATAAAGAATAAGAAGTGCGAAAAATGAGGGGAAGTCTTCTAAAAGAGAGAAAATAAAAGCAAAAACATGCAATGAAAAGGGGTTAAAATGAAAAAAATAAATGGAATTTTAAGCACATCCGAGCATCTAATTGTATCCTCAGCAGCTATATACACGACAATGTTTCATGTTGTCCCTGACGTGGGGCTATTACAACAACCCCAAGGCGCTTTGGTTAATGCGTTCAGCAAACCCAAACTAGAAAGAGTTATTTAGTTTGCATTCCAATCACTTATAAATACTTTTATGTAAATTAAGATAAAACTCTTCTTATATACTCACTTCAACAAATAACGATCGATTGAAAAACTACTTATAAGTTATTTCAAACTGGTCTTAAAAATATATTTGCTATAGGAGAAATAAATGGGAGAAAATATTTTAATGAGTTTAATTTTAAAAAAATTAAAAAGTGAGGTGAATAAAAATTTAAAATTAATTTTTTTATTTTACATTTTTTTATCAAAATTTCATAAGCTCATTTTTCAAAATTTTTAAATCCAACTTATTAATTTTCTTTCCTTCAATTCTATCACACCAAACATAAACTTGGTGTCTATTGTTGGAATAAGATTGTAATCTCATTGAAAAAAAAAACAAAAAAGACTCCATTATTAGAAGTCATAGTGACTGGTTAACTGCTACTTCCTCCGTTTCTTATTATAAGAGACGAATAACCGAATTACGTTAATTAAAAAAACAGTTAAAATTAGTTAAGAACAATTAATATATAAAAAGTATATTTTTTTTTTCAAAAATGCCCTCATTAATAAGGAGAGAGAGCATGAGAGAGAACAATGGTAAATTATTGAAAGAAAGAGAAGTGGGAAGGAGAGAGAGTGTGAGTTGGAGGCAATAAATATGGGTAAAATAGAAAATTAACACAAAAAAATAGAGACAACTTTTAAATATCTCTTATATATAGGAACATGCCATAAACATCAAATGTCTCTTATAATAAAGAACGGAGGGAGTAGTAAGTAGGGGATAGCTTTGAGGCCCTTGTCCCGAGAACACACATGACGTGTCTCATGGACTATCTGGGGATCACATTCAATGATATGTGGACTTGTTTGTGACAGCCGACGAGTGGGAATTAGGGTTTAAGTTCAAGAAATAATGGGTGTGCCCCGTTCACTCGCAACTGCGGCTATGAAACTCGGCTTAGCTGCGTCACCCGCCAGCGATTGGAGCATGTATGTTGAATACAGTTATTCTACTGATTTTAAATATAAGATTTATTTTATAATGTATATAAAGATTTTATATTTAGGATTGAAGGAGTATTAAATCCGAATATAGTATGTGGACAAAAATTTTTCCATCAATTCTATAAACTATTCCCTCAACTTTAAACAATAAATTATAAATTTAAAAGATAACGTAAAATAATATTTTATATTTAAAATTAAATTTAACTGTCGGCTGGTTCTTCTATTAATAAGAGATAGTTTTGCACATCCCCATCTATAATATTGGTCATTTTCTTTCACCTTGCGTGTATCCAAAATATAAATTCAGTTCGGTAATATCTACGATATTTAATATTATTTTGTAATCTGTCATTCTGTACAATTAATGAGCCAAGTTTCATTTAATAACATTTAACTTGCGATAAGTATCGATTCGGAAAAGAACATGGAATTTATGCATTGAAAGCAAATCAGCAAGATTATATCACTTAAAAACATATAAAAATATCATTTTTAAATCTGTGACTGACTCAGCCTAATTTTTTTTTCCCTCTAGTCTATGGGAATAAAAATTTATTTTTAACAAGGAATAATGGTTTTTACTATGTCACGCGGGGCAAAATGGTTTGTCCTTAGGGTAACATGAAGATGACTCTTTAAATTTGGCATACTCCATCAATAACTGTGTATAGTTACAGGTTTAATTTTAGATTATAAAATGCGTTACAAAAAATGTAATCAGGAATTTATAGTTAAATCAGGAATTTAATGATATATTGACTTGCATGAGCGTAACACATGAATGTGAATTAGTGAAGAGGAATAGTGTCCGATGAATGCTCAAATATAACGATACTCCAAAGCTCGTGGGTTGAAAATTGAAATTATATGAGGTGGAGGGTTCTTATTGGACAGAGTTGACATGATTTGGCACGCTGGGAGTACCTAAAAATTTCTCTGACTCAGCCTGCATTCCTTGCCAATTAAAGTTAAAAGCCGACCACTCCAATTAATTATTTGTGTTGAATAGAACTGAATCTAATCCCAACCATTTTTTTTAGACTAAATACACGTTTGATCTGTAAGATTTTAGTTTGGTCTTTTAATTTTAAAAAGTATACTTTTAGTCATTTAATCTGAAAATTGTTAGTTTTAAATGATATTTTTTGTAACAGTTATGATTATTTTGAATATTAAACTTAATATGTTAGTATTTAGTAATATTTTATCAGCATTCAAGAGCTCAATATCATTATTTTTTGTTAACAGTTTTAGAGTTAGAAGACTAAAAGTTTACTTTTTAAAATTAAGGGACTAAAATGAAACATTATGTAAAGTTAAAAGATTAAAAGTATACTTTAGCTTTTTTTTTTTAACTACAATTTAGATATATATACACGCATACAAAGATATTAATATTAGGTTTGAATAAAAAACCTCATCCAGCTATGGCGGGCAATGCCGTCACTAGTGGCTATATATTTCACTATTGAAAATCACAACTCCAATAATGAGGACTCTTAGCCATGGAGATGTTGGGAGAGAAACAAAACTATAATCTTAAAAATGATTTTATCATGGGAGAAAAATTTTATCTCGACTAATATAAAAATACTTCTTCTTCTTTTTTTTTTTTGGCAAACCAAATACCTCCATAGTCTCTTTTACTAATATTAACATTCATGGATTTATGCTATGTTGTAGGAGGACACAAAAACAAGCACAGCAAGTTTCAACACAATGACATGTTAAGTTGTTATGAAATTTTTTAATAATTACTCTTCTGGTCTTTAATATAAGACTTATTTAACTAATTTGATTAGATTAAGGAAGTTAGATAAGTTAGTTAATTATAAGAAATGTGACATATTTTTCTTAAAACACTATAATTATTTCTCTTAATACCCCTCTTTCTTTTCTACTTTGATTATGGTTGAGGGAGTATCTATAAGAGTAATTTAGAGAAAATTGATACATATAAGAAATAGATCTTATATTTAGGATCAAATCCAATTCAATAATTAAGTCATATATTAAGAACAAGAGGAGTATCTTACAATAAATCAGCAATCACATATAAATTGATAACTCATCTAGAAGAACCGCGCACAAAACAAGTGGGCGTAGACTACGTGGACGCGATCAATTTCATATGAGTTGGACAGAGTGACGATAAAGATGACCCTTTACGTCAGGAACTGATGGAGAGATACCTCTTTTTTGTTTCTGATACCAACTCCACAAACTTGTTCAAATTAAACTATTATCTGAGTTTAATAAAAAATATTTTTAATATATAAATTAGAATTCTATATATTTTATTTACAAATATGTATGTATATAAATGTGTGTGTGTGTAAATATAGTTTTTCACCTTTTCCTACTCCGCTCGGTGAATACAGACGCAGTGGTACAGCAAACTAAGGAGAGCTTCTAGAAGAAGAATCGATTTATTCAATCTATGGTCCAATCTCGAAGAAATTGGGACCCCTCCTTTTTGACAAATATCGCCACTTGAGATTTCATGTCCCCCGCCGCTCTTTTGCCTGAGTTCTACCTTCTATTATTGAATACTTCTGCCTACCTCATTTTATTATTTTCCTTTTTTTTGTTTTTTGAAAAAAATCAGTAAAAAGTATGTAAACATTTTATTGGCTAAAAAGACATGAATTCAAGCATGTTTAATTATTTTCAACAGGTGTAACTTTTCTTCAAATGATTTCTGTCTTAACATTATTAAAGAAATGTTGTATATAGCTGAAAACAAAAGTTCCACTGGTAAGGATAGTTACATCTACTCAAATTTAAGCACTTTTAGCTAATAAAATTTTTAAAGGGATACTTCTTTTTTTTTTTTTTTAAAATCAAACTTCCCTTTTTAAAGAGCAAATTTGCTTTTTTTTTTTTTTATAATTTAAATAAGCTGTGGTTGGTATCTTTTTATCTACGTGATATTTTTCTAAAAATTTTAAGAAGATTGCAATATAGTTACTATAGTAATGTTTTAATCATCTTTAATTGTTATTTGAACAATTTGACTAAAACTGAATGCCAATTTTGCTTTAAGAGCTAACCCAACCTGAGCGCTATATAGAATTGCCCCAAGTCCCCACGTCTCCCATTAAAACTGATGCTCCTATTACAACTTGACAAACGGATTACAAGCGCATCCTTTTCCTTTACCCACCCCCCCTCAAAAAAAAAATCACACACACACACACACACAAATTTAACTTGGGATGTTGATTCATAATCTCATCCAAAATCTTCTTTTCGTTTTGGGTTATAACAAATTATTGGATTCTTTTTATAATTTGAATGTCAATGATTCAAAAATATTGCACCAATCAAAAGTTTATAGTGCGAATTACTCTTTTGGACAAAGTTCTCATTTAACACTTATGATCGTTCAACTAATGCTAAATGTTGGTCCAACATTTTCATGGGGTGACATTACCCAATGTTTGAAACTTTTGGGAGAATATTGTGTTAATTGGAAGTTAAAGATACTAGTTACACCCATAAAAAATACTTTCAAGACAAGCTTGCCATTTAACCCCTTTATTTAACATCAAGCTTCAAGATTGAAACTTTGGTACTTTTAAGGTAAAATTAAGTGATGAAAGATCATCAAATATTTAATTTACTAAATAATTTTGTCATTAAAATGTCATGACAACATTATGCAATTTTTAAAGAAAAAAATTATTAAATGATATCTTTGTCTTTGTCTAACAGTTTACAAAAACTCTCCTAAGAAAATACTAACACCGATCCTAGTTATATAATCATATAATTATGATTAAAACTAGTATAACGATATGGGAAGTCTACTTTTTGGTCTCCGGATTGAGCACAGCGGCAGATGAGATAATTGCAACCGCTCATTTAATGGCGATCTTCTCTAGAAGAAACAGTAACGAGACCCGCAGGCAAATGGATTCCTTCGTAAGCGAGTTAGGTCAAACTTGATATTGATAATTCAGCTGACTAATGAGGAGAGGCCACTCAGCGACCTGATTCGTGAAAACCCTAGAAAATGGATTACTGAGTTTACCACAAGGCTTCTAGCTTATCCTCTTGCGTTGTTGAAATCTTAATACACTTACTAGAACAAGCAGGGCTTCTTGAGAAGAAGTAAAGCAAAATACCAAAAAAAGAAGGAAAAAAAAAATCTAAACCCACAACTTCTGGCAGTGGAATGCAGACAATAATTGAGTCCTTGGCCAACTAAGGTGCAGAAATCAAAACAGTGGCTAGCACTATCAATGGCAACGCAAAGCCAACTACTGAATGAGATAATTGAAATCAGAGTGAGATGATCCTCCAAGTTCAATGGCCTTAGCTTTCCTGCCTTCTGTTTCTTCTCCTTTCATTAGAACAGTCTTCTTTATGGTATCGCCGTCGAAATGGTGGCCTGAAGCTTCAAGACCCTTCACTATTTCAGCGAACTCAGATTCTAGCAAGTTTATTTGTTGCAGTTCCTATTCGTAAACAAAAGTTGGGTTTCTTCGTGTCAAGCCACTTCAAGTGTTCGTGCTTGTTACGTGCCATGCTTGGCTTGTAAAAGCGATATTTGTATTTTTACGCACCTTACCAATTTCGAGTTAGAACTTTGTAGCGACTGCGGGAAATTTATCATGGTTAAGTTTCTTGTCGTACTGTTACTACTAATTTAATCTTATTAGGATACTTATTAGCATACATCTCAATTATGTATTTTTGTGATTTCCCAATTCTAGTTACTTTTCAAATTTAAGGAAAATGTCAATTCGTCAGTTACTGGACGGGTAGATGAATATGTTAAAATGGATTTTAGAATCATGTAACGGAATACGTGGAGGGAAAGGAGTTTCAGAACCATTGCATATTAGGGAGGGAAGCTAGCTGAGATTTTACACGCAAATAAATAAACACAAGGCTTTCCCATAGATTAAAAATGAGTGACAAGTGTGTGTGTGTGTGGGGGGGGGGTTAATTTTAAAATAAATAACAGAGAGAGATAAAAATACTTGTAACTAGTTGGATCTATGTCCAAATTTGCTGTCTATCCCCACGTCTCATCCATAACATCCAATTAAAATTTGGATGTGGTCTAGATCAAATTATTTTATTTTTTGTATTTTTAAATTTAAATATTTATTTTACAAGTTGATAGTTATATAAGATTGATATAATTTTGTATTCTCCAATCTCCATAAAACAATCATTAAAATATGATTAAAAAAAGTTTTGAATCATCCTAATATTATCTGAATGCTCCCGATATCTACAGAAATAAGCAAAAAAAATGCACGGGATCCAGTTTCCTGTCACGGGAGAGAGGAATTACATTCATTATCCTGCAAAACTTTTCCAGTAAAGTCGCTGTGTTTGATATTTACATAAACTGGAAAAACAATATGACTTAAGCATAGGCTAAACAAATATGACTTCAAACTTCGCACAAGGATTGCTTTCCAGGTAATTCCTGAAATCATCGTCCCCTTTAAAACTGAAGGTATAAAGAGCTTGTCTCTGGGTCATGCCAAGGGGGTATATTCTGTAAATTTTTAGTTCATTGCTTCCTCTTATGCTTTCAGGTCTCTCGGACCTCCAAAGGGGTACATGATTCAGGGATGTGAACTTTGAAAAAACAGCAGACTTCAAAGCCTCCAGAGTCAAGTGGCCAGACCTGCCCATTGGTGTCAGTGATGAGTCTTCATCATGTTAATCTCATAATGTCCTTATTGATAAACCTAAACATACAAGAATAAGATATTGGAGGAGGCCTAAAACATTACTCTTTCCCAAGTAGACTGAAATCTGAATGAATGTAAGAAAACCTAATGATATTCCCTTTTTCTTTATAGAGGCATCCCTGCTGTTTGTTATTTTGATTAGCAACCAAGAGATACTGTCAAGTCTATCTGAAAGTCTTTGAACCGTAGCATAACTAACGGAAATTTGCATAAAACATAGCATGAAAAAATCAGTGCTGGAAAAAGTAGTATACCTCAGGTAAATAGATTCCATCTGAAACCTTCCTCTTTCTCTCACATATATGTGATAAACTGTTTCTGAGCCTCTCGTGCACCTGCAAGGGCGTTTCTTAAAGCCAGCGCTCTTTTCTTCCTTTTCTCTAATCACTGAAGCCAAGTGAATGCAAAGGCGGCAAGATGAATGCACCACTGCCATATCCAATAGTGCCTTGAAAGAATCAGATGGGCCCTCGTACTTCCACCTAGTCAATAAATATCTCAGCGTGTACCCAAATGGTATTTACCAATTGAAGATATAATAAATGCAGCATGAAATCATCTTTTAAAACTAGATCTGACTTTTACAGTCCAATTTTGCCATCAAATCCATTAGAATTAAGTCCGGGACAATGGCAATCATTCCTCGGGAAGAACTCTTTTCATCTCTGGAGGGGGTTGGGCCATTGACTCAAGAAATCTCTTCTCATTTTTCACGGCGTGAAATTATAATTTACCTCAAATATTGACTATATGCTTGAGGATTTTCTGCTAGCATCTTCATGGTCTTAGCAACTGAACCAACATCTTTGAGCTGTCTTATATGTAAAAAGGAACCAGAGGAAGGAGCAAAATCTTGAATATTTGGAGCACCAACAACCACAGGGACAGATCCTGTCATGAAAGAGACAATTCTGACATTTGATGGAACTAATTGGGCCAAACAACAGAAGGAGAAAAACATATGGGATGCATCGGCCATGAGTTCTGAGGTTCATAAGGTTATATCTGTTTTCCCTAGACATTGTAATATAAAGAAGGGAAGATAATCAATTTTCATACCAGCGACCAGGGATTGAAAGAATTTTTCAGTCACGTAATCCTCCACATTGGAATTCTCAAATGCTAAGCTAAATTTGTAGCGCTTCAGAGCTTCCACTTTGTCCACTGTGAAAAAATAAAACAATAATCATGAACAGTAGTAAATGTATATATGCACACATGAAAAGTAAGCTGGGGCAAGAAGTTTTCATTAAGTGACAAAAGATTACTACTAAATTAACTGATTCTTACAATAAAAGTTTCACAACCTTGCTCCGGATGCTGGCCTAACAACTTACATATCAAGTTTAGACGTTTCTCAAGAGTAAAATAAATAATGATATCAGATAGACCAATGTCGGAGACCTCTTTTTATTTGATAGCATCCCAGCATAGTGGAGCCGTGGAATATGTTCTCAGTCTGCGTACAAATAAGTCCGTGTACACTCTCAAGCACATTTAAGCTTAGGCTATAGTCTTTTAATCCTTAAATTTATCAAATGACTTGCCTGTCTCAGTTTTTCAAAGAACCTATACAGAAGATCATCAACTATCGAAGTAGAATTTCTCATCAAATATGGAGTCATCATCTAAAAGGTAGAAGGAACCAAGGATGCGATTCAAATTTAAGAAACACTTTGACAGGGTCAGCATAGAAAAGGGGGTAGCATTTGTCATGTTAAGAAGATTATCATTTGTCACAAGAGGTTCCAAAAGATAATAATGAGCATTTATTCTTAATCAATTAAAACTCCTAGTAATATACCTCTTTCATCACGATTCCTATGGCAACCACCATAAGAATCAATCTTGATGTTCATTTTTTCAAGTGCCTCAAGAGCTTCCAACCGAAAATTTGGGGCACCACAATTGGAAATGAATGCTGCTGCAAGAGCACTTTCATTTTTTGGCTGTACTGGTGCCATGATGTCATACTCAGCCCACGAAAAATACCCAACTGGAACATCAGATGACAGACTGGTAGTCATTACAATGTCATATCCCCTCCTAGTACACAAGGACACTAATATTAGTTTTGACGTTAACCAATTTTCCTCTTTAGGAAATATTCCCTTAGTTGGAATGAATATTGGCAATTAACAAGATAGGTGGACCCTGTGCTTTGCGTGGAATTTAAGGTAAGTTGCATTGTTTTCACCTATAAAAAATGCAACTTTGTACACCCAAAAAAAAAAAAAGAAGCAACTTTCTATGTTTTTTTTTTTTTTTAATTTATATTGATCAAAAGGCTCTATGGCATTAGCCTTATCATCTAGGTTGAGATTACACTTACAAGGTCCACCACGTTAGGGCATTAAACAAGGTAAATTTTTCCTATTACTATACTTTTCCAAGGAAAGACCACACAACACCCTGACACAAAATCATCAAATGAAGCAATATATACGGCAATGATTGGTCCAATCTAAGGAATTTATGCTTTATCATAGTGCTTACCCACCGTCGTGCCACTGCAATATCATTGTCTTGAAAATATACAGTTGATTCCATGGATCGTCGAATATGAGCTATTCCATCTCGTCTAGGGGAACCAAACGAAGCATCAGGAACCCTGCCTTCATCTGAACCAAACTTGCATCCCAAAGAACACGATATCTGATCCTGAATTAGGACAGTACAAAAACTTTAGGCGGAAACATTAACAATAAAAAGAATACAAAGAGGATCACATGGCAATTCGTCAGTCATCACCAGACAAACATCGTAGGCACAAGACCTTAACAAGCATTTATCAACAATTATTATTCGAATTGGAATAAAAGGATCTGGCATAAATATATAACAATGCCGCGTCTGCAGAAATTACTCAGAGTCACAAAAATCAAAGTCACTACTGTGAAATGGAAGGAATCATCCGTAGAGCGACCAACTGTTCACATGGTTCAAGACCCTAAACTTCAATCCAAAATTCTCTAACTAGTTGGAAAAGACAAATAATAATGAAATTATAAGAAAATTTATTTGGCGGGACATCCTGGCTCACATTTTTTTAATTAAATTTTTTACCCGTCGACACCATTCCAGTTAAGAATTAAAGATCAGCTACTGTATCATAGATTGCATGACATTCTGCTCCACTTCATCATAAAGTTCATAACTTCCAACTTATAATTAATGACCTCTAAGTACATCTCAAACTTGTAGTTTGTTGCTCGCCTATTCATAATAAAAAAAAGCTCGGATGGCATAATAATAGCGGAAATCCCAGGTTATAATGCATCATCCTAGTTATCCTAACTTGTCAGTAGCCAGCCCTTCTTCAAAGGAAAAGGCAAAAACATCAATAGATATTCGGAAAATCATGAAAGAGGGAGAGGGAGGGAGATAGTGAACAAAACCTGCACAGCTCCAACAACCAAAATGGGTTCTGTCGTAAAATTCCTTGAATATGTCACCGCATCCTCCCTCTCCAACCATTCTTCACAGCTCTCAGATTCTGAATTACTATCACCACCCAATATATCAAACGCAAAATCATCGAATGTCGCTTCTTCACGAGACCCATAGAACAAGTCCGCAACGGTATCGACCATAGCAGCGTTCTTGGCCACATCAAGCCTACTCAAGAAGGCGATCTCTGCAATGACCACGAAAATTGCAAACAGAGGCATCCAATTACCCCATTTCCTCCTGGGAACCGCTGTTGTCGAAACCGGCAAGCCTTCATGGGTCGCCTCCGTTCTCAAGCCTCTAGAATTCGTCACGAGACCCATCATTATCATATAATTTTCCCTCCAAATTCCAACCTGCAAAGGGGAGAGAAAGAAGAACAAATTATGGGGAAACAAAAGCCAGACGGTATTGAAATCAGCACCATGATACATAGAGCTCCGAACAAGCATTAAATGACGATGAGCATTTTAGAATTATAGAAATAACAAAAGAAAAAAATGAGGCCGAGAAAGCAGGGTGCAAACTTCATCGTAAAGCAGCCTCGGGCGTGCTCCTCGGAGGGGAAAAATTGAGATTCATCGTACCTTGGTCATTTTATGCGACTTCCAAAGTCCACTTCCATTGCTCTAGTTAATGAATATTCGGAGACTGGGGGGATTGGTAGTTTGCATCTCCAATTTATGAATTTTTTTAATTAACAGGTTTAGTTAATGCCTATGAATGGTAACCTTACTTTATTTTATTTATGAATATCATTTTGTTGTGATTAAAAAAAAGATTTATTAACAGGCTATGCTTCTTTGACATTATCAAATGCAGTAATTTACTTGATCGCTTTCCAACTCTTGATGGGCTCCCGGCCGTAGTGATGACGAGAAATCTTAAGAAATGGAATGATACTTGGATAGCTCCTATCCAGGAAACTGATGATGGTGTCTTCGTTCATTGGCATTTTGTTAATAGCACCCCTGCTCAGTTCAGAACTTAGACACCTTGCGCATTGCGTCTGACTTTACTTGTTCACACTTTAAAGGATTGAAGATATTCTGTCGCGTCAAACTCTGATGATTCTTCTTACTCTTTTTTTCACGCACACGGAACGTGACTTTCATTATAAATTTATAACTGAAAAAAGAGGTGTGACACTTAGATGGAGCATGAAAAATAAACGTCACATGTCGTAAGAGTGGGAAAGAAAAAAAATCCCACGTTCAAATGATATATTGTAAATTTTATATTTTATATATATATATATATATATATATCAAAATCAGGTTATGCGCATGTCAGCCCGGAGTCATGGATTTGATGAGACGGGCTCAAACAAAAGTTTTGGATGCATGAAAATTCAGTTTCACCGCGCCACACCAAGAAAGTAACTAGAAACGTCTACAAAACCAACGAAGAAAAGGAAAGGACCTGCAGGGCCGTGGGGACGACACGCTTGAACCTAAAACCATGACTGTAGAATCACTTTGGAAGATGCATAGTGAAAGCAAATCATACTTTTACCTAAGCTACATCTTGTCAATACAATTGGAAGAAAGGACCCGCTACATTTGAATATCTCCTTAATCTATTAGAATGGGAAAACCGCAGGGAAATTAAGATATGTCAACCTAACTTGGATAGTTAACAGCCTACATTCACCAAAAAATAATGAAAACAAAAAGTTATGTAAAGAATTATTTGCACTACATCTATTTTGTATGGCCTTCATGAATTTCTTCCTACCGCTCTATCACCTGAAACATCTTTAGATATCAATCCCAAGTACCAATACCAAACGGCATTGTATCTCATAATCCTCTGTAAGAAGTGGCCATGCCTCAGTTGCCTAGCATAAGCCCCAAAATATATTCTGAAATGCGCCAACTGGAATCGTCCCTTTACGTCAGCATCTGCTGTGAAATCTCCGGCTTCAATTCCCAGTTAAAACTAATTAATTTCCTCTTAGAAATGAATGCCGATCAGAATTTGGGTCACGGAAGCTCTCTGGGAGTTCTGACAGCAATTCACGTTGTCCTTCATTTTCTGATGATGAATTAATATTAGACGAGACATCAGTTCTTTGGAAGTTTCCAGAAGGCACAACCTGCACCCCAACAAGGGATTTGCAATATTTAAGCAAAGACTTTTGCACGATTCAATGAGTTTCTTACTAAACAAAGAACAAATTCCACACATTACTTGATCATTGCTAGAAGCGCCAGCAGTAGCTGTCTTCATCCTTTTTGCCATAGGCATACAGCTTGGGCTTGCTCCTTGGTCATTATTCTTGAAGTTTTGATCAGTAGCCTCTGCCAAAAAGTTGAAAGTAAATTGTGATGGCTAGAGGTGTGATAAAACAGATATATGCACCCTCAGCTGCCTTTTTTCTTTGGGGGGGGGGGTGTCAATCATATACAATGCTCCAATCGGCTGGCATGGGGTAGAAAAGTCGGCAAAAATGGAATAAACAGGCAATAGAATTACATGATTTTCTTTCCTCCATACCCTCTCACTTAACATTTAAAACGGAGATTATTTAAAGCATATTCAAAATCCTTTATATCCATTATTTCGAAATTGGTATAAAGCATAATGAGAAAGATATCGTTCCTTTTCCTTAACAACCACTCACATGATGACAAAAGCCCCTACTTAATGCATATCCAGAATCTCGACATCACCATTTTAGTTATGTCTTCATAGCAACTGATACACTGCACAGCATAACTAACCACCACTTGTTCTGTCCAAGCGTGATCTTAAAAGTCCTGCTTTAGTTTAGTTAATGATGTACTTCTATTAAAAAGGCATATACAACTGGAAAATCTAGGGTAACAAAAACAATCCATCAGTAGACCGTAATCAAATCACGCTGGGACACTCTGAAACCAGTGTAGTTCATGAAGAGTGGCTTGGCATAATTAACAGATAAGACTTCGCTTAAACAGGAATTTTAGTTGTGTAAAATCTCGCACCCTCATAATAAACATTAAATTTTAGACACTTCATACTGTTTCGCAGCATCCACATAACAGATTGGGCTGAACCACAGTCACAAATATCCAACTTCAAACTATAAAAAGTAAACTGTGTCAATAAAGACTAAGCATCAATGCATGTAACATGAAAACCGAAGGAATATGTTATGATAAAATCATTCTACTGATCACTCTCACAACAAAATCCGTCTTGTTACCCCAGCAATTTGGCATATATGTCAGTTTTGCCATCAGTCCACAGATATCCTCATATTTTATATGATGAAAGACCACCCTCGCAATAATAACATTCAAAATTATATCCTAAAGATTATGATTTCCTAAAAAACACTGAAATCCTAGAATCCGTTTCACTACATGTAAGCATAGGCTTAAAATTAAGATCTAAATATCAAGGTTGACAAAGTAATATAAAATAAAATTAATGCCATGGTTGTTAAAGCCAGCAATATAAATTAACACAACAGTAATGAGAGAGGTCGGTTAACTTTCAATTCATAGTCATTTCCCACTGGAAAGAACACTTTCTTCTCTAACTTAAATGCGGGAAATAAGAACACTAGGCTATTATTTGGGAGAAAAATGCTTTGTTGTTAGAGTTGAAAACCACTTATATCAACAGAAGCCTTTGCTTTTGTTAATCTGTCCGAGGTAAACATGAATAACAGCAGTTAAACATTGCACAACAAATATAACCTAAAATTTTCAAATGGTTCACACTTGATATGGAGCTTCCTCTAGGCCAGAGTTCAGGCCAAAGACTAGTACAGCCTCATGGAACTGAGGAACCCTCCTCATTTTAAGCCTCCCTATGTTTGGGAAGGAAACTTAGTTCAGTGCCATGTGATCTGGCTGCAACCAGACATATGCCCTACAAGTTTGCCACTAATTCATCCAGGAGTTCAAATCTAATTGACATTTTGGTAACACCAAGAATATGTGCATGTGCTCTCTGAAATTATATGGACGTCTTTCAGAGAAGAAAAAGTACCGTGTGCTTGAATGTGGCTATGACAAGCAGAATATGGCCAAGGAAAAGCAGGATGACAGAAAAATAATGCCTAAACAACTGAGTAACTAGCACGCATGATGCAGGTATTACTTGAAAGTTTACCTGCATAACAGCCAACTGATTCTCGATGGCATGGCTTCTGTATGATTCTTGGTGACCACCTGGAGAATTTTGAAATCCCTCCAACCTGAGTCCCCTCATCACAACGCATGCCACTGTCATAAACATCAGATCCTCTCATAACACATTCTCTTGCTACTGGTGCATGTCTAGATGGGCTTCCTGCAAGAACATGAGAATCAGCTGTGCTCTCTAGCATAGGTTCATTTCTTTCAACACAGATCTTCTTCCAGCAACAATCGTGTAGAACTGGAAACTGAAAACAACAAAAAATGATAAGGCATGATTGTGCAGGGAAAACCATAAAATTATAAGACGTACTCACACGACACAGATGCTATTTGAAATTGATCTCTGACCTGCTTGGTCATATTCTGTGAGTTTTGCAAGGTTTTTGACTTTAAAGCTTCCTTTGAGTTATTACGTAAGCTCCAACCAAATAATTGTATAGACTGTTGCAATTCATTCACAAATGAAGCTTCTAACGAATTAAGATATAAACGGTGTTGATGATCTGTCCATTTTGTTGACTGGTCGATCTGCAAAGTTGCCAGATTGAACAACTCAGAATTTCCTCAGCCATTATGAAGAAAGAGAATAGAAAAGCATTAAAACTTCTGAAGGAATCAATATTTCTTCCACTATGCTTTCAAAAAGTTCTCTGATTATATCTTTTTTCAGCAGTTCGTATGATGTTAACACCAAGATGGGAATAAATGTAAATTTACATGATTTAAGATTGCTAGCATACACCAAAATCACATCAACTTCAACAAACACGAAACCCTGTTTAAGCAATAGATGTGAAACCACAAGTACATGCAGAGAAAATACCAGAAAAGGATTGTCAAGTAACTTCTAAGCAAATTTTCCAATTTTCAATTAGATATTCAGGTAACCATACACCGTATTTCAGAAAATAATGTCATCAAAGAAGCTCTCGTTTGATGCAGACCACAAAGATGACTAATTCTCCAGCTCGCATCATAATAACAAAATCATCAAGGATAGAAGATGAAAGAAAGTAAGGGCATACAGAATCTTCTCTAAGCAAATAAGTTGCTCAATGAAAAACAAAAGCACATTTAGTGAGTCGAACACAGAGATTAAAAACGTGAAGAAGTTCATCAGAGAACTTCAATGGTCAAACATTAACGAGGTGAACGAAGCCATTTTGTTCCCGAAGGCTGTAGAAACAAAACATAATTACAGCCATATATTACTAATATTCATTAGTCAAGATGATTTCAGTTTCTTCGCGACCCTCACCTTATTAAATTAATCCTTTACAAGTGTTTATAAACTTTAAATGTTCTCGACCCATTTATTGTTCAATTTAGCGAAGATTGTTCGGAAACTAGCTTATTAAATGTTACGACTAAATTAAAACAAGTAACTGAATGTCATGCAAAGCACAGATGCCTGATTAAATACATGAAACATAATTTATTCACTAAAATAACCTAAAGTTCGAATTCCCAATAGCTGTTCATACTTCATAGACATATTTTCAGCCGGCTAACCCAACAAACTCCAGGATGAACCTTCTATTTTTCAATTTTTCTTGAAAAACACAACCAGATATTTTTACAGAAAACAAAAAAGTGGAGTTGGAAACTTTATGACGTGAGAAGGATTTTAAAACGAAAATATATGGTAAAACTTGTATTACAGGAAAAGGTGCCGCGCACTGCTGCGAGGAAGCTTTGGAAGCATCAGCCGTTATGGCGGATAAATCCGAGTTCATCTGAGTCAACTCATTTCCGCAGCTGTCGAACGGCTCTAGATCGGGCGGCGGCGAGTGAGCATTCTGAAGGATACCCTCCTCCATGTGAATTGATCCAGCAAAAAGCGAAGATTACGCGAGAATTCAGAGAGAAAATGGTGCTTTGAATTGTAGGGACGAAACCCTCCGGGGTGTTCTGAGCAGGGTCGCGAAGAAAGGGAGGGAAGGGGGGAAGGGACCGAAGGGGCCTCCTGGGACCAAAAAGGTTCCACATGGCATCGCTTTTACACGTGTCAGTAGATCATCTAGGTGCCACGTCATCAGGGTGATAATATCTTGGGCTAAGGTCAGCCAGATATTTTTGAGATTTATGGGGGTGGGTGCCCGCTTTCCGGACGACGATATTTTGGGGAGTCAGAGTGGAAGCGGTAACGTATCATTAAGTCCGGAAACAGAGAGTGAAGACAATGAGCGGTTTTTGGCGCGTGTAACTCATTGGCTGCTTCCCTCCTTTTCTCGTACTTGCGCGCCGCCTCTTCAAGCACCCGTGCCCCGCACTTGCCGCCCCATCGCCAACGCGTGAACTCAAACAAACCTCTCCAATAGTCTCCGATCTCCATTCCCTTCCAAATCAGTGATAATTCTTTATATTTTTTCATTAAAGTATATATGATGTAATTTTATTTTTAATTTAATCATAAATATAAAATTTTAATTTATTTTATTTTTAATATTTATTTATTTTTTTAAAAATAATCTTTATACTAGTTGCATATGTTAAGGAGTTATTGTCAATTTGTAATTCTAACACACGTAATTAATAAGAACATTTTAAGAAAAATAACGTCTATTTGTTATAAATAACTAACTTTCTTAATATCTCTAAATTAGTCAACCAGGTTTTATATTAAAGACTAGAGTAATATATATAAGACCTATTTAATTAATTTGATTAGATTAAAAAATAGATAAGTTAATTAATTATAAAATATGATATGGTTTTTTGGGCCAAAATAAATAAATATCTTTGAAGGAGTTGTTGTTCATGGTGTATAGCACTCATTCGTTCTATTCTTAATGTAATAACTATTTAATTAATTTGAAAAAATTAAAAAGATTAAAAACTATTTAATTTTAATTAACAAAATTTATATCGTCTTTTTAAAATACCCAGTAAAAAAGGGCTAGACAAATAATTATTTGCCCGCGCGTCGACAAGATGGCTTTGTTCGCAATCCTGAATTATTAATGACACAGAAGCTTGCGACCCAAGGAAAAATAAAAGGAGATTAAATCTGCTTTTATTCTATTGGAATTGGAAGTTTGTAGTGAAATAATAATCCTATCTCTTGTCCTAATTATAAGACTTTAGCTATAGATTATAACGAGATTTTATAATTAGGACTAGAGGTAGTACGATGAAATGAGGATGTGAGGGCTAAGAAATAGCTATAGACATATATGGGAGTTTTTTAAAAAAAAAAACTAAAATGTTTGTATTCTCCTATAGGATATATTACCTCTGGTCCTAAATATAAAACTAATTGACTAATTTGAAGAGATTAAGAAAATAAGTTAAGTTAGTTATTTATAATAAATATGTGTTGTTTTTTCTAAAATATTCTTGCTAATCAAGTATATTAACTAGAACTATTATTATTAAAAGGACTCTCTTGAAAACAATAGATAAATATAAGAGATAAAGTGAATTAAAATCTTATATTTATGACTAAAATAAAAATCAAACAAGATTTTATATTAAAAATTGAAACTAATACATAGGAGTTGGGTAAACAAAAGGACACATAAGAATTTTCATTTGAGGTATTGCGGCCCGCTAAACATGAGTACGTCTTTTTTATTAAAACAAATTGGAATTTCGACTGGCCATATTGGGAATTAGGGCTGATGGTGACTCCCCACTTGGCAGCGACCAAGAAAATCGGATTTAGAAAGTTGAGTGCCATTATAAAATCAGAAGGCGGATGATTGCTGCCGAGCCAAGCAAACATCGGCACGGGACCATTGCCTCAGCTTCATCTTCTTCACGTCCCCATGGCGCACAGTCGCCTCCACCAAAAATCCAGCTGTTAGAAAAATCAACCAAGATTTGCTAAATCATTTTATAAAAAAACAAGAAAAGAAAAATCTTAAAAGCAACATGAAAATTACTAAATCTCTATTTCTACAAAAACATGTTGTTAATTTACAATTCAAGTGTAATCAGAATCTATTAAAATAAAAAACAATCTTAAAGTTATGATTTAGTAATTTTCAGGTCTAAGAAAAAAGGAAAACAATCTTTTGACCCAATAATTTGATTCTAACCCTGTTCCTTCACTTTAACTAGGTAAAACTCAGTTTTTATAATTTTGATTCAGTTAAAACTTGATACTTGAATTTTAATTTACTACGACTAAATCCTCATAGTTTACAGCAGGAGGTATAAGTCCTTGGATGACAATTACGTTTTTTCTCTTAAGAAGGATGGCATCATGATTGTATTATCAATATGCTGTAAGAGTAAAGTAGAATTGCTTTCACAGCAGACTTATTTTAATTCTTCATTTTTATATTATTTTATATAATTTTTTAATATTATATAAATTAGTTAACATATAAAAAAAAAATCTTGGACATATTCCATCAACTCGAAGATTCAACTATTCACTTCAATCCAGATCCTTAACAGGTTCATTCCTCCTCCTATCGCCGTATTGATTGTTCAATTAAAAAATTGAAGGGGCAAATGCATTCAATCAACATTTACTGGGTCCCGCATTAAAATTACAATAAATCGATCGATATATTTAATCAGTGGAAGTCATCACGCGTCAAAATCTCGATGCTACTTGAAGGCTTGGCATAATATATTTTTGGATGTTTACATAGAATTAAAATCATAATTTTAAAAATACTTTTACGATGTACGAAATAAATATGTGAAAAAATTTATCTCATTTTATAAAAAAATACTTTTAAGAAACACCTTACGTTTCCAAACACCAATTACTAGCAAGAACCATCTACACTGCATTTCTTGTCTTATTTTAAACATGCTCATTGCTCAAGGCTTTTATTTTAAGGCCAATTGTTGAAATCTTGTACCGGCGAGTTCTATTTAGAAATTATTATTAAGGTTCTTGTGTTGACAGGACAAAACATTTTTTCTACAAATTATTATTAATGTTCTTGTGTTGACAGGATAAAACATTTTTTTACGGCTATACAAAAATTGTTGAACATTTGTTCCCTCTAATGATTGCAAGCACAGTTAATCTGAATGACTGTGAACAATGATACAATTTCTGATTTTTAATATAAAAACTTGTTTGACTTTTATTTGATCATAAATATAAAATCCCAATCCATTTTGTTTTTTATATTTATCTATTTACTAAAAGTCTTTATAATAATGGTAATTCTAACAAATACACTTGATTAACAAAAATGTTTTAAAATAAATAACACATTTATTATAGATAATTAACTTAACTAATTTTTTTAATCTACTTAAATTAATCAATTAGTTCTCATACTAAAAACCCAAAATAGTATAACATGTCGTTACATGTTTGGGCTTGTCTTAAAACTCAACATGTTCAGGATTATCGATTCTCAGTAAAATGCGCGACACTTTTTTCCATTGTTTTAGAAGCCTAATTATGCGATCAATTACGTACACGTTGAAATTTTGTCCATAATAAAGTCGAAACCTGAGTAAGCCATTTCCAACCAGCAGTATTCGGGATTTCCCTGGATAAATTTAATCATGTGCTCCAAATCGACTCCAACTGAATCATATCATTCTTTGTAATTGCAAGCACAAAACCAGAAGCTCGTCAGATCACTTCTTTGAAACACACTAACCTGCAATATGCTCGAAAAAAATCAAAATTAGCTACCAAAATGCAAGCAACCAAACATTTAAGTTCTATTTTACTTTTCTGTTCTCCTTTCAAAATTAAATCAAACATACAAGGACTTCATTTCCTGTATATTAATATACATATAGTCCCAATGCATTTTGGTAGGATTTCATCCAACTCGTGTTTGCTACTTATTGGGGCAGGATGCAGCATTAACTCCAGCGAAAAAGTAAACTTTATGCCTCTGCAAACAAGAAGCCCCATTGTCTAGCATGCACTTAGAATAAAGTAAATAGTAATTATAAAGCAAGAGTAAATTGTTGAAAAGAAATGAGGAGCCAAGATATTAAGCTGCTGGAAAAAAGATGATAAATGAATAAATAATAAGGCAGATAAATATTCCAAATAAAATTTATCAAAAAATTCTTTACAGCATTCTGGAGTCCGGGCAAGACAGTCCATTCACGTTGGTCAAGACATGAAATTAAGCAAATCACATTGTTAAAGCCTTGGATCATATTTGACCAGAAGTTCTGACGCACAGAGCTTAAGCAAAACGTGCTCCCATTTCATCATTTAAAATGTGCCACATGAGCTTCCAATGGGAAACCCAAAAATGACAAAGCAACAGGGGAACTTAATAGAATGGAAGTTATTGCATGCCTATTAATAATCTCTTACCGTCTGAGTCATCATTTATTATCACTATCACTGCTTCTCCAGAATGAAAAGGAAGGAAGTTGCGTCAGCACATAATCCATGAGCCTACCAGGAACAGATTTGTCTGCTGAAACCTTCTCATTATCACCTTCTTCTGCATCAAGATCCCGCCAGAACTTGATGATATGGAGACTTTCTTCCTCCGTTGACCTTTGAATGACAATCCTTGATGCATATCCCTTCTCCCTCATATAAAGGCATATCTCAGAGGGGTTGTTTGCTGTGAGGGTGACCATGTACAACCATCCCTTTTCTGACAAAAGATGATCTGCAACTGGCAATATCCTATCAATAACACTCCGGCCATTCTCTCCACCAGCCCAAGAAGCAGCAATACCCCCAATACCTACTTCGTCTTCAGGGGTAGGCACATATGGAGGGTTCACAACAATGACATCGACCAATCCTGCTAGACGCTTCTCCAGTCCTGATGCTATATCTGTGATTATCAACTCAGCATCAACCCCATGTGCATCCATTGTCTCCCGGGTCACTCTTACTGCTTGTGGGTTGATGTCTGTTGCAATATAATTAACAGCAAGACCTTCCTGCCCAAGCATAAGAGCTAGGGAAGTAATAACATATCCACTACCACAGCCTATCTCCATACACAATTCAGGGCAGTGCTTCAACAGGTTATTGCGGTCAGCTAGAAGAGCATCAACCAATGCAAAAGAATCATCACACGGTTCATAAACATCCTCATGTGAACTCATGAGACGAATTTGGGCAGTTCTAGAGGGCATCTTTTTTGAAGCCTTGCGTTACAAAATACTTGTTAGTCAAAATGGCTCAAAACTGAAGAAGAGTGGCAGTTAAAAAAGATTTTAGGTGCTTTACCATTTCCTTGTTTATTTTTGTAGTGATTTGTAAGGACTTTGTTGACTCCAGTTCTGGATTGCACTGGTCCATGTCAAGAAGCAAAATTATGCAGTAGGATTTCTCCTTACTCAGTTCTGAGCCCAAGATTAAGAAAAATTAAAATGTTAAGATTATACACTGGTAATAACCAACTGTGGTGAAAAACTTAACTAAAAACAATAGTTACAAATATTACAGGAAAGAGGGAGTGAATAAATTATCATAAAATTGTCTTAAACTACAACCTAAATAAGATAAAAACAGAAACAAGTCAGTATGTTCAATCATAATGAGGTTTTTACTAAACATTGTTCATCAGCCACTCTTCACTAATTGTCACTCGTCTCACTCCCCTTTCTAAAACAAACCGAACATAAGATGGGATCAGTCTTACTTCTTTATCACAATATAGGTTGACTCTCACATTCTTATTGTTTCTGGTATAATGATGGAGAGTTGTGAGACCAAGGTAGTATGGCATGTGTAAGCTCCAATCAAGCAGCATATATTGCTCAATGGAGTACTCAACCGAGAGAAATTTTCCCAAATTTTAGGGGAAGGTTCTTCACCCTACTTGGATGCCTATCACTTGGTACAAAAATGGTAGTCCATGTCTCAAAAAAGCACGACTTGTATAAGGTTCCCGCCAAGCAACAGCAAAAGGCCTGGTGAATGTCACAAAGTCTAGCTGCCTAGATATCAACTTTCCAAGGGTAGCCAATGCCAGTTAATGAACACGCCAAAAATAGTATGTGATGTCCCAAGTCCCACATCAAGTTATATGTGCTACTGAATGAGGCAATTCAGTTATGTAGTTCTCTAGCCTCAACGACTAGCTTCTGAGAGAAACCAGCTTCAATGGACATAGGACTGGTGGGATGGGGCTCTATGTCAGTTATACACATACGTTTTCTAGCATATGAAGCTCTGGGTAGATTAAGACGGGTCCATACTCAGGTAAAAAGTAAATAGATATATGATGTCAAACATAACAGACAATCTGGTAAGTTTAAGAAGAAAATTTATATTCAAAGTCAGGAAAACCATGAGTAAAACCAAGAAGCTCCATATGCCCTGTTAATGAAACCAAGCATTCACAAATCTGTTTGAACAGAGGATGTGATGCATCACTCACGACAAACTCATGTACAATGCCATTGACCTCAATTGAGCTCCAACCAGGAGTTTTATCTAATCCTCTCTCTCGCATTAATTTCCTTGCATGTTTCGCCTCCTTCCACATTCTTGCTTCTCCATACATGCTAGCAAGCAAAATATAGGTCCCACTATCCTGAGGATCTAACTCAAAAAGCTTATAAGCTGCCCTCTCCCCAATTGAAACATTGCCATGAACACGACAAGCAAAAAATAAAGCACCCCAAACTGCAGCATCTGCAGTCATGGGCATATTTTTAATAAGCTCCTCTGCTTCTTCCAAATGACCAGCTCTTCCTAGAAGGTCCACCATGCATGAGTAATGTTTAAGCTTAGGGGATATGCTGAATTTGGAGCTCATTTGGTTAAAAAATTTACGACCTTCTTCAACCAAACCACCATGACAACAAGCAGATAAGATGCCAAGAAAGGTGATCTCATCAGGCATCAACCCGCAATGAATCATTTCTGAGAAATAGGACACAGCATCATAGGCATTTCCATGAAGTGCTAAACCACAAATAATGGCAGTCCAAGTCAAACAATTTTTCTGTGGCATCTCATTGAAAACCTGCAGAGCCCTTTCAATATTTCCACTCTTGGCATACATGTCAACTAATGCGGTTCCCAGGGCAACGCCTAAAGAAATACTGTGTCTTTCAATATAATGGTGAAGCCATACTCCAATATCAAGTGCTCCAAGTTGCGAGCATGCTGACAAGCAGTTAACTATGGTTACTTCATCAGGTTTTATATTAATGAGTTGCATTTCATGGAATAGAGTCAATGCTTCTTTACTGAGCTTGGCCTCAACACAACCACTAATTATTGCATTCCATGGGACAACATTCTTCTCTGGAATTTCATGCAGAAGTCCCCGAGCAATATCCAGAAAACCAAATCTGGCATATCCTAAAACCATTGTGGTCCATGAAACGAGGGTCTTCTGTGCCATATTATCAAATAAAAGTTGTGCTGCCATGAGGTCCCCACACTTGACGTACATGTCCATAAGTGCATTAGTAAGTGGGATTGTCAGTTCAAGTCTATGTTCTTTGATGTGCTGATGAAATTTCCGGCCAAGATTCAAATCCTGCAGTTGAGAACAGCAAGAAACCATCCCAATCATTGTAATCTCATTTGGCTTCAGTTTCTCAGCCTCCATTTCCCAATAGAGATCCAATGCCACGTCTGCTAGCCCTCTTTTAACGCACCCACTAATCATGGAATTCCAGGTTACCAGGTCTCTCACACAACCTTTATCAAATACATCATATGCTGTCTCTAATTCTCCATGTGAGAATAGCATAGTGATCAGTGCATTGTGAACAAATATATCCAATTCAAAACCAAACTTTAATATGTGCCCAAGAATAGCAAGACCCAGAAAATTAAGAGAGGGACTAGAACAAGCCTTAAGCAACAAAGGGTAGGTATGATTATCAGGCCTCAACATACGATCTTGTAACATTCTTTTGTACAAAAGAAGAGCTCCTTCAGAGTTCCCACTCTCTAAATATCCCCTAATTGTCACATTCCAAGAAAAGACATTTGGGTGATGTGTATTGAGCAGAAGCTTTGTGCAATAACCAAGAGTTCGTGACTCAGAAAGGGCACAAAAAGCAATAAGGCGACTAGCCGCAAAGCTATCATAGATTAATCCAGTTAGTGTCATTTGTGCTTGGATTTGCTTTAACTGGATAAAGGATTTGCATCTTTCTAAGAGAGATAGGAGTCGGTTTGTTCTAACAAAACTGTGGTTTGTGTTCCAACTGATGGTTTTTGAATAAAGAGGCAAAGATTGAGTGTGTATATAAGAAAGAAAAGGGCCTGGGAATGAGAATTTGTTCAAAGCTGGACATCTGAGTTCGCTCAAATAGAGGATGAGCATTAGTTTCAAATATGCGTCTAGAAAGTAGAAGTACGTCTGCTACATTCTATATTACAACTGGAGGGAGGTATTCAAAAAACACAGTGAAAAACACACAGCATTCAGCAAAAAAGATGAAGTGGATGACAAGATAGATGAACGGACCTCACTAATCGACAGCCTAGATGGGGGCATCGGACGAGGAGGTTTAGCCGGCGAGATGCTGATGAAACGATGGCGGAAAGAAACGAACCTCGCTAGGTCTTTCTCGCGGGTTTTATGAAATTGGTTTCAAACGAGGATGGCAGCAGGCGGCGGGTTTAAAACGTAGGAGAAAGAAAGGATGGATTTTTCATGAAGGCCCACGGAGAGAAGATATGGATGGAGGAGGTCCAGGAGGAGCCGGCCGAAACCAATCACCAGCCTTCAGAAAGTTAAAAAGAAAAAATCACTTGTTTATAGGTCTAGGAGGCCATAACACGAAGCACGTTAGTTACTCTGCCGTTTAGGCTCTGTTTGGTTGGAGGGTTTTTGAGGGAAGGAGAAGGGAGGAAAAGAGAGAGGATAAGTGTGTTTGGCTGGAAAAAATAAAAAGGAGGAGAGGGAAGAAATTTGTCTTTTAGTGCTCCCTTCCCCTTCTCATGCTCCCTTCCAAATTTGGGGTTTTTTAGAGAGGAGATAAATATTATATCTAATATTGATCAAACTACTCATACTAACTTTTTAATATTCTAAGATTGTCCATCTTATTAAAAATCTTTTTCTCACTTCTTTCTCTTTTTAGCCACTAATAATATTTGATAATTATAATATTATAATTTATACATATCATGTATATTAATATATATATCATAACCTGCGTGTGCGTGATATAATTATATAATATATACATATCATATATATTAATACATATATTTATAAAATTAATGAGATAGAATATTAATTTTTTTTTTCATGTTTTCTAATTTGTTTTAGTTTTATCATTTTTCTTTATCACATGTAAGTGAGGTAATTGGTTTTTTTTAAATTGATAAATTAAGAAATAATAATTTTGACATAAATATTGTAATAAAAAAATAAATCAGTTTAAATATAGATATAAGGGTATATTTGTCAATTTATAATTACCTTTCCTCTCCTCCTCTTATGAACCAAACAAGAAATCTCCCCTTCCTTCCTCTTCCCTCCAACCAAACAAGACCATGACCTCCTTTCTCCTCTCCTCCCCTTCTTTTAATTAACTTCCCCTCCCTTCCCTTTCGTTGAACCAAACAAAGCTTTAGAGTCTTGCTGTAAGCCAACCACTTCAAATGAACTAAAAATGTCAATAAAAAATAACTACTACTATAACATTAAATAGGTCAAAAAAATTTGTATGATATAAAAATTAAAAACGTAGTTAATAATATATTATAAATATTACGGCTTATCCCAACCAAATTCTACCTAAAACACCAACTTAATTAAATCAATACGTACACTAATTGCAAGTGAAAAATAAACTAAAAATGATGAAATCATGAATCCTAATAAAAAGCTAACTACTAATAGTTGACAAAAAAGATAAAAAAAAAATTCACTATTGATCAGTTGATGCATAATTATTACGCAAGTGGCAGAGAGCAGCTGCAAAAGGGCATTAAACTCAAGATTAACAGTTATTAGAGCCATACAATTTTGAAAGCTCAACACTGGGCCTATATGTTCGGCAACTACATCACCGGGTCTTTGATCCAGAAATTAAAAACAGAGGCATTTCAATCATTTTTCAGTCTTAAACAAAAGTAGTAGTTTTTTAGTTATCCATGCTGCAAGCAAAATCAAGTTTTTGTCACAGAATTAACAGAGATTGAGCTTAGTAAAAGGAGTTAGTCTTTCACAATGTAACAAACCAATATTTGAATCTTCGTTAAGAAATTTGTTCAAATTTAATTCGTGATAATGCCTCAATAACAATATAGGAAGGTACCTATAGTTAGTCCAAAGAAAAAGTGTTTTGCTACTGAAATCAGCTTCACATTTGAATATTAGTCATAGAAAATGACGTGGAAAAGACTCAACTTACAATTCAATAGAGCAAAAACAACTTTTACTTGTATTAGGAACAAATTCTACATTAACAAAAAGCAGCCAAAGGAGTAATTGCTTGGAAGGCTAACTTTTCACGCACAGTTTATAAAGCGTACTCCCTCGTCATCAAAATCTCTCCTTTTGGAAGCATCTGTGCGGAAACTGTGCGTGACTCTTGATCGTCTTCTTAGTAGTAGGCACTCTAATATATGACGCAATTTCATCGTAGAAAATTAATGTATCATGTGCAGTAAATAAGATCAGGTTTCAGAATAAGTGATGGAAGATTAAGTCCACCGATCAACTTATGATGCTGCTCTCTAAAAGATCAAAGAGTGTTTCCCTGTTCAACCAGCATGAATAGCCAAAAGCAGAAGGAGGAGCATATTCCTGGGAGTGAGCATTGAGTGGGAACAGTACTGCTAGCTAGCTAGCTAGCTATGTTTCTTCAGAGTTCAGACCTTCTTTTTCATTTGTCCTGAGCATATTCTTGAGATTTGATTCGCCCTTTTGGCTTTTTCACGTGAATTCACATTCACCTTGCAATTGCATCATCTGATCTCCTACCTCTCAATAATTGAAACCCCCCCCCCCAACCTAACTACGCCCCCTCCTCTCATGAGTTATCTATTCTTATCAGAAACGGAGCATATATCCCTTTGTTATTTTAATTGAGATGGGAGCGATTGTCAGAGAAATATGATAACTTAATAACCCTATCAAGTCATTCATTATAACTACACACTTTGAATCATTGAAAGAGAATATGGCATTTTTAACTAGGTCAACTGATCTTTATAAATGGTATATGGAGTTTGCAACTGATAATTCTCTATGGCTTCACACTGATCTAATCATAAGAAAAAGAGAAGTCCGACTGCTGAAATTGTGTATAGTTGATGATGAATTCCCAGTGAATCACCTGGAAAAATTAGGCAACTCACTTGTCTCCTAACGATAATTTAATTTAACCCATTCTTTAAGTTAAATACATAATTTTCAAATAGTGGTTTGCTTAGAATTTACTATAATTGTATGTGATTTCAACCTCATCTACTTTTGAGAAAAAAAATTGATAATAATTTTATGAGTTGTAAATGAGACTATATTAAAATCCCGAGCACATGATCAATAGTAAATTTCGGACAAACCATTCATAACATGCAGGTAGATGACTTGAAAATATCATTGAAGAATCATTAATAAATAATCTCGTTCACAAAGTGGGCTATATATCTAACGTGTTTATTTATTTATTTATTTATTTTTTAAAGCATAGGTATCCTCTTATTAGAGACAATCCTATTCGAGGTACTGTTAGACACTAAACGTGGGTACCTCTCCCAGCAGGAATTCAAACTTTAATTTGTTACGTTGTGAGGGATTAGCTCCTTCCGCTAGACGCAGTTCTTGTTGGCTCTAACGTGTTTAAATTGACAAAATGTGGGTGTATCCTGAGGTGGATTTTGTTAACGCACAGCTAGCAAATGGACTCACGCCTGCACTACTTCATCACTAGCAGAAAGTTCTGCAGCTTCACGTGCTCCCACTCCCCAGAATATCACGCTTATGACTTTCATGGCAAGCATATGGGACCCAATCAGATACTACACAAATAAGTGTCGATTGTTCAACCTTTTTTACGCGGGCTTTTTTTTTTTTTTAATTTTTATATAAAAATTAGATAATTAATTTAAAAAATTTAAGAAAATTAGTTAGTTATTTGTAAAAGAATGTGTATTGATTTTTTTAAATTATCCTATCTAATACATGTACATTGGACTATCTCTTAATGAAAAATTCCTTGTAATATATTACTACTGTATATTGTCAACTTTTCTCTGTTTCATATTTTTTGGTCAAACATTTTTTACTAACATGTTTTCAAACCCCGTAAAGTGTGTCGGGTCATGATTCTTCGCTTGAAGCTAGTGAGCCCACTCTCTCTTGCTGTTTCATTATCCTACTCTTTTTTCCAGAAAGAATATACATAATTCAAAATGATTATTTCACGTCAGCTAAACACCCACTTACATTTTCATAGCAGAGAAAATACTAAAGTCATGTAGGTTAGATATTCCCAAGCAAAGCAAATGTGGGAGTAAATAAAAAAAAAAGGGAATTGCCGATATATTAAGAAAAGCAAAATTAAGCATATATGCACATGTAAGGTTTATTTATTGACAGGAGTGATTTGTGGGAAGGATATACATAAATTTATTGTGAACAAAAGTAGATAGGAAAAAAAAAAGAACATAAAATAACTTACGATAATGCTATTCATTAATTGTTGAGACTTTCAAAGCGATAATATATATTATTATTATTAAGTGATCCGTGATTGGCCTTTGGCCCATAAAAAACCAAGGATAAGTCACTGGCTTCACTTTCATCGATGAGAAATAGATTAAATAAAAGCATCACCAGCGAAAATTTTGTCGGAAAGTACGATCTAGCGGCGGAGATTGTTCCACTTTTCCTAATCTTATTGGAGAGACGTCACATCAGCAACTCAACTCCTCTCTGATTGGCCCACGTTTCCAAATCTCTCTGGCTATCCACCCCCATTTTTCTAATATTTTAATCAATCCATAAAGTGCCACAAAAATACAAAATGCCCACCTTCGGTCCCCGAGCTTTCTGGTTAAATGGCCGCCTCGTGTCAGAGAGGCTCAAGACACTTGTCGCCTCCACCGTCTCCCTCCGTCAAAGATCGCTTCCACGCGACACTCCTCCTACTCACTTCAAGGAAGAACAGAAAGTAATTTTAAGGGAAAAATAAAGGTAATTCTTTTACCACCGGGGGGGAAAATCTTATTTTCTTATTCTCTCTCTTATTTTTACGCTATTTATTCTCATTTGTTAATTTTTTTTAATGATGTCTTTTCTGGGGATTAAATTGAACTGGATGCTTTCTTTTGTCAAATTTCTTCCTCACCAAGGGACTTCGGGGCCGTTGGAAAGGAGTTCATCCCTGCTTTGGCCTTGTTGGTGTGTTTGATTTTGGCCGTAGGTGGAGGAAACAAGGGAGTTCCCATAATTGGCTTTGTCGTTTGAGAAAAGGAAAAATGAAGCTGGGTTATTGATGTATTAGGAAAGGGAAATTTCAGATAAAGTAATCGCAAAATAGCATAATCCATGTTGGTTGTCTGGATAAAAGTCTAAAAATGGCTTGTTGCTTGGGAATAACGAGTTAACTCTGCATTTTGCAGCGTAGACTTAGTTCCAACTATAACACAACAATAAGTTTTTTCTCAGTCGACGATTTAAAAAAAAAAAAAAACTTTTTAGCCATTTGTCGGTTGAAATCGAGCGATATAATAGTTGAGAATTACTTAATTTTGGAGTTGAAGTTGAAACCGAAAGAATTATAATGCAGATACTTTATCTGAGCTGCGATTATCGGATGGTCATTACCTGTATGATGGGGTTTTTTCCGCCTTATCATCGTACTTTGTTTGGATTCATAATATTGCAATTGTATGTACGGCCTTCCAAATGACTTTGGAAGGACAAGCTCCATTATTGAGTTAGGAGAAAATACTCTCTCAGTTCCATTTTTGGGCTTCGTTTTTTTCTTTAGGAACTCGTGGCTGGTTATAAATCGTAACTCCGCAAGATTGTACATGAAATTATTCTCTTGTTCTTCTCGCTTTAGTGAGTGTCCAGTTTCATTTAACCTCGGAATAATGGCTGGCAATCTATTTTGATCCGAGGTTTATTATGAGAGAGGATATCAGAAGGTCCCTGTCTTTTTTCCTGTCACAGAGTTCCCCTCTAAGAAGCTGTCTTTGTTCGATTCTTATGTAAGTTGTTCAATGAATAGATTCTAATGTATTTGTGAACAGTTAGATCTGAATCCAGGTGGAGCCAACAGACAGAAAGCACCAGCTGAAAACACCACATGATCTACTCACTACTGGTATTAGTTCAGCCGTACGATTGCCATGCAAGAAAAGAGTTTGCTTAAGTAAAGCCTCTTGCGTCGCGTCAACTTGAAGAAGTCTTCATTCAAAATTCAAACAAGATGAGATCAAACATGAACTTCAAGGGCTACGAGGATACCAACAACCCCAATTCCATCGGCAATAATGGAAGCAGGCCGCCTGCAAATCTCTTGAGGCAACCTTCAATATACTCCCTCACTTTTGACGAGTTTCAGAGCACTATAGGTGGCCTTGGAAAGGACTTCGGCTCAATGAACATGGATGAACTCTTGAAGAACATATGGACAGCCGAAGAGACTCAATCACTAGCAATGTCATCTTCAGCTAACGGAGGAGAAAGTAGTAAAAACAACATCACCATCGTCAACAACAACAACAATTATTATAGTAATCCTAATGGTAATTTGCAGAAACAAGGGTCACTTACTTTGCCAAGGACTCTTAGTCAAAAGACTGTTGATGAGGTTTGGAGGGACTTGATGAGAGACAGTAGTGGGGGTAACAGTACGAAAGTTAATAGTGGTGGGGTTGTTCCTTCCGCTTCTGCCATGCCTCAGAGGCAACCAACTTTAGGTGAAATAACATTAGAGGAATTCTTGGTAAGAGCAGGGGTTGTGAGAGAGGACAATAATAATGTGCCTCTTCAAACTGGAAGACATCAATGGTTCAATAACGACAACGCTGGCTTAATGCTGGGGTTTCAGCAGCCAAACGGGAACTTGGGAAATGCTAACCCGATGGTGAATAGCAATAATCCAGTTTCCAAACAACCTCCCACTGTGTCATTGCAGGTAGGTAGTGGTACTGGTACTCATACACAACACCAGCAGCCACCGCTTTTCCCCAAACCGGTGAATGTGGCTTTTGCGGCGGCGGCGGCGGCTCCGATGCATTTGGTGAATAATTCTCAGATTGACGGGAGGGGAGGGATGATGGGGGTTCATCAGGGAGGTGGTTTGACGGTGGCGGGGTCTCCGAGGAGTCAGATATCGCCTCCGGCGGAGGGTGTGACAAGGAGCAAGGGGGATCCGTTGTTGCAATCGCCAGTACCGTATGTGATTAACAGGCCCAGGAAGTGCAGTGCGCTAGAGAAAGTGGTGGAGAGGAGGCAGAGGAGGATGATTAAGAACAGAGAATCGGCTGCCAGGTCTCGGGCTCGCAAGCAGGTCAGTGTTCTGTATATTTTCCTGTAGAGGAAAGAAGATTAAATTTTGTTGCAGTTAAGATTAGTTTTTATGCAATAGTAGGAGATAGACTAGTCAACTTTTTAATTGTTGAGTATTTGTACTCTTTCGGGCCAATAATTATTGAGCATGATTACCTGCTTCCTGGTGGTCAAAGACCTATGGTATCATAATTAGAAAGGAAAATGCTATTTAAAATATGATAAGGGAAGTTTAAATTTAATTTATTACTTAGTAATCATTACACTGTCCTTATCATTAGATCATTACTACTTTTTCCTTTGTTCCTAGTTACATTAGCCCCGTACAACTAGTTTACAAAAATTAAAAAAAAAATAGTTATTTTAGTTGAGAGTAACAAATTTCTGCGTAATTAACTTCATCTTGTCAACAACTTGTTTATTTGGCTAGAAGGGAGGAGAACCTTTTTTTTTTTTCCTTCCTATTAAAATATAGGCATTTTTTATTGAAGGCAATTTTATTTGAGGTATTATCGGACATTAAATGTGGATACCTTTCTTAATAAGGATTTGAACTTTGATTCATCACGTTGTGAGTGATTAACTCTTTTTATTAAACTTAACCTCCGTTGGTTAGAAGAGAACCTTTTTGTTTAATTGAAATAATGGAGAGAAGGCAACCCTCCCCTCCTCCTTTTAACTAAAGCCCTTCTCCTCCTTAAAAAAAACTGGTTAGTATAATCCCTTCTCTCTCTCTTTCTAATTTGGGAACACTTTCTCTCTGTTTCCTGGGTAAGTAATCGGGGAACATTTCCATTAATAAGGTATTCTTGTAAGAAAAATAATAACTAGTGTAGACAATAAGAAAAAGGATCTTATAGAAAGTAACAACCTAAGTTGCTAAAAGGCTACTCTGATCATTCCTAAAGCTTTTTTTTTTTTTTTTTCCAGTTTTAAACTCTGACACTCTGCGTTCCCTCCTCCATAAATGCACAGTAATTCTATTTTTCTTCTCTTGGAAATGCCAGGCCTATACTTTAGAACTGGAAGCTGAAGTCGAGAAACTCAAGGATTTGAACCGAGAGCTAAAACGAAAGCAGGTAGGAAAAAGCCACATCCTCATCAGTAGTTATTTTGTGACACCCACTTTACCCGATTTTGGCTATGTTTCTGTCAATGCAGGCTAAATTTATGGAAATGCAGAAGAATAATAGCCAGGTTTGAATTTTCATCCTCGTTTGACCCACCCACGTCAGTTCAATAAAAGACATTAAGCTAATGTATGTCCAAATAATGTTTTTTTCCCCCTTTTTGCCTGTTTTAACTTTGTCAGGCTTTGGTGACGCTGAACGGGGCAGGGGGAGGCAAAAGACAGTGCTTGAGAAGGACACTTACAGGACCATGGTAGAGACTCTGTGGGTTGGTCTTTTGTTTTCCAAGTGACTGTTAGCTAGAGGAAGCCACTGTGATAAGGATTGGAATACCAGATACCAGATTAGGTTGGTAGCTTTATGTATATTAATGGTTGTATCTTTAGATTATATTAAAACCCATGTATTTGCTTTGTGGTGTTTGATTTTCTAATGTGTTCACATAGGACTGTGTAGGACTAGACTGCTGAACTGCTTAATATCTAACCTTCTTTCTACTGAATCTCAGTTTTGTTCACGAGTATTTCTATCATCTGTTTGCCAAAAAGGCCAAGTTAATTAATCTATACTCATAAACATACATAGAAGCAAGTCTTCGAGATCAAAACATATTCCACTGACTCCCGTAGGATACTCAAAAACTTCTATCAAAGCTGATTTAGCGATGGCAGATGCAAAACCTGTTACAGTGGCAAGTCGCTCACCAGGACAACATTGTAAAATTAACAGTATCAATATATATTTTTTTCTGCAGATGCGACTAATGAAATTTGCTTTTGCTCGCTTTAGAATATATGCAATAATCGTTGCTTCAATCTCTTCAGAACACATGAGCGATTGGTGATTAAGGGAACCTGTATATCATATAAAGACAGGCTGGTCGTAGTTGCAGGATATAGGGCTACGGAAGGTTAATATATAAACAAATTTTAAAAAGGAAACGACATTCACCAAAAGATCAGAAAGAATCAAACTACGGATTAATTGATACAAACGTACAAATGCCCATCACTTTGCATTTGTTCTCTTGTACTCTTATCTTGTCCTCTCTGATGGTCTTTTCTTGTGTGCCTGAATTCTATATCCACGTGATTGCTTGGTTAATCCTTTAAGCATTCAACCGGCTCGCAGTGCCTCTCCATTTATCATTGCAATTTCAGGCTTCCGTCTTGGTTAGATAAAATACTACATCTAGTTTTTAATATAAGAACTAGATAGTTAATTTAAAAAGATTAAAAAAATTAATTAAATTGATTAATTGTAACAAATATGTATTAACATCGTTAAATTACCCTATTTAATAATGTGGATTAGAATTATTGCCTGATAGGAGTTGTTACAAGGGGAAATTGTCAAAAAAGACTTTGGAATTACAAAAACGCAGATAGGGACCCTTGACAACTTCACTTTGGGTTTTGATAATATTTTTGACAACTTCATGATATATTATTATTGTCAAAACCCAAAGTGAAGTTGTCAAGGGTCCCTATCTGCGTTTTTGTAATTCCAAGGTCTTTTTTTACAATTTTTCCTTGTTACAATCAATAAGAATATTTTTAAAAAATTATAAATTTAAAATACAAATTAAATTAAGATTTTATATTTATAATTAAATTTAGTTCTTATATTAGGCATCAAAGCTACTCTTCCGGTCTTTAATATAAGACCAAATTGTTGAGTTGGTTTTGGTCCTAAATATAAGAATCATTTCTCATATTTATCAATTTTCTCTAAATTACCCCTATGGATATTCACTCAACCGTAATCAGTAGAAGAGGGAGATAGAGTATTAAGAAAGATGATTATTGTATTTTAGGAAAAATGTGTTACTTTTTTAATAATTTTCTAAGTTTCCTAATCTAATCAAATTAGTTAAATGAGTTTTATATTAAGAATCGGAAGAGTATTACTTAGCATAGACGGAATAAACAAATCCTCGTATACCAGTCTGCAAACAGCCACCAATCTTTGGGTTTATTTATTTAAAAAGAAAATCCGCTCATCGTGCATCAATCCATCAATAAGCTAATTTTAAGTTTTTTTTTACAAATATGAGCCCGTTTTGAGATTCTAAAGCTTCACATTCCAGTGTGGTGCCTGGGTAAACGGGACGACTCCATTTCCTGAACTTCCACGCGGGGCGTTATTTCTTACAAAGTTTTCATGAACAAAATAGTTTTATCTCTTGACAGGATTCAGTTTAATAAAAAGAGGTAATTTCTCATACAGTGATGAATTAAAATTTAATTATTTATTAGGAGAGGTGTTCATATTTAATATCTAATATTAAATTAAATATAATTTTCTCTAATAAGAAGATAAAAAATAGTTCTATTTATTCTCAAAAGAGATTCTTCCAAATTTCAAGTTATAATCATTGCTAATTTCAATTTTAAATATAAAAAGTAAATAAATAATTTATAAACATTAAAAAAATTAGTTTAATTAATTAATTTAAAAAAGTGGGTTGGCCTTTTAACAATTTGCCCAATAAAGTATATGAAAACTCCCTTTATATATGTGCTTAATAAGAATAATTTAAAAATTACAAAATGAAAAAATAATATGAATTAAAATTTTATATTTGAAACCAAAATAAATTTCAACCACTTTTTACATTTAGGACCGAAAAATACTTATTTTTAAGAATATCATGAAACAGAAAATACATAGATGACATTATCTTTTATTATTTTACTAGTTTTGTTTATCCTTTTTCAGCAGTGTCTATCTTCTCTTGCGAGGATGGAACAGCTAATGAAATGCTTAAAAGTTAAAATTACGTATTGTTCTTTTCCATATGATCTTATCCGTGAATCTGTAATGACCCAGCACAGGCAGAAATCAGGATTCCGTTAGGAGCCCGCAATCGATTGGTGTAGTCTTGGGAACTGGTTGTTGTCAAACTTGACAGTTGAAAGATTGTAGAGATGCTACGCCTATTGGGCTGGGGGAGAAGAGCGACTTCAATCTCATCCAATTTTTATGAAGTTCCCGGAGAGGAAGCACCCCTGAGATTATTACCAGACGGGGCTTCTGCTTGGGCGTCCTTACTGATGGCGTCGACCGCAATTCCGAGGCCTTTGCTACAAACTCTAATTCCATGGCGGACTTGATTTCCGAACTCCAATCTCATGTAGCCAAGGTTGCTTCTCTATTCCATTTTCTATTTGCATCTGTTTCTCACAGTCTGTGTACGTTTTGGACTAAAGGTTTGGTTTGCTAAAGGTACTTTCGGGTGGTGGAGCCGAGGCAGTGAGGAGGAACAGGAGTAGGAATAAGCTTCTACCCAGGGAAAGAATTGATCGCCTAATTGATCCTGGCGCTTCATTCCTTGAGCTTTCACAGGTTTCCTTGCAAAAATAAATTATCACATCTCCTTTATTGTTTTCATTGGATTTGTGGAAAGCTCTAGTGAGTATGCGAGGTGGAAATTTTGGGGGAAGCAGAAAACATATTCATAAATTGCATGAATGATTAAAGGTTTGGCAATGGAATTTGGAAAGCTGATGTGAAGTCCGTTCTATATTTGAATCAGGCTCATAATGCATATATTGTTTATTTAGGTGATGCATGGACCTGGGAATCTTATGAGTTTTTAAATGACAAAGCTTGCAGGGCATGAATTATATGGAGAACCTCTGCCTTCTGCCGGGATTATTACTGGAATAGGTCCAGTGCACGGGCAGCTTTGTATGTTTGTCGCAAATGATCCTACGGTTAAGGGAGGGACTTACTATCCCATTACTGTTAAGAAACATCTTAGGGCACAGGAGATTGCTGCTCAATGCAAGTTGCCCTGCATATATCTTGTTGATAGTGGAGGTGCTTTCCTTCCGAAGCAGGCTGATGTCTTCCCAGACAAAGAAAACTTTGGAAGAATATTCTATAACCAGGCTATCATGTCGGCTGAAGGCATTCCACAAATTGCACTGGTATTAGGTTCTTGCACTGCGGGGGGTGCCTACATACCTGCCATGGCTGATGAAAGTGTAATGGTCAAGGGAAATGGAACCATTTTTTTGGCAGGGCCTCCTCTTGTGAAGGTCAATTCCTGGCACTTTGATGGCCCTAAATCCCTTGTATTTATGCTTTTTTTTATGTGTGTCCTCTCTGCCTCTAGGACAAGCGTTTGCTGTAACTAGATGATTTTATAGGCTGCAACTGGGGAAGAGGTCTCCGCCGAGGATTTGGGGGGTGCAAGTGTTCACTGCAAGACATCAGGTGTTTCAGATTATTTTGCTCAAGGTATTTAGTATGTGCATTCTCTCCCTCCTACGCATTCACAACCAAATCTAAAGTGACAAATGAAATCTATTGAAATCTTATCACTGACCATGTACAATTTTATTCTTAAATCTTATTGTAGATGAACTGCATGCACTGGCTCTTGGGAGGAACATCATCAAGAACTTGCACATGGCTGGGAAAGACGTCTTGGGAAATGGATTGCAAAATGTAAAATATGAATATAAAGAGCCTCTATTTGATGCCAATGAACTTCGCTCTATTGCTCCAACTGATCTTAAGCAGCAATTTGATATTCGATCAGTTATTGCTCGGATTGTAGATGGAAGTGAATTTGATGAATTCAAAAAATTATATGGCACTGTAAGAGTATAGCCACTTCATTTTCTTGATGTTTAACCATTAGCTTTATGTTTATATATATATCCTCACACGTTATCCATGCAGACTCTTGTAACAGGCTTTGCAAGAATATTTGGACAGCCTGTTGGAATTCTTGGAAACAATGGAATTTTATTTAATGAATCTGCTCTAAAAGGGGCTCATTTCATTGAAATATGTACTCAGCGAAACATTCCTTTGGTCTTCCTTCAGAACATCACTGGGTTTATGGTATGAATTTTGCCACCTCCTCTGTTACTCTGATTAGGATGCTTGCTTTTGGTCTTTATATTCTTAGCGGATGATTTTCCTTTCCTACAAACTACTGTTTAATAGATTATTCTAAATGAGGAAATGATGCTGTGCTCCTATATACTAATTATGTTATGGAGAATTGTCTGCAATGTTCACCACTGCCTGGGTAAGTGAGCTATGGTAGATAATAAAGGCCTCATAAATTTAAGATTAATTAAAGTTCACTACAAAAGCGATAAAGTGTAGATAAAGGAAATAAAGATGGTCTGAGTCTCACTGTAAAAGTAAGTGAATGCATCTTATCCCTCGGAACAAAAGGATAGTAATACATCTTACTTTTTTGTAGGACAGCTTTGCCTTAAACTTCTTTCTGCGTGGCTATGCCGAATCTTGGAAGTTTTAGTCTATGCTCCCAATACATGAAATTTTGTGTGTCATCCGAGATTTCCTGTCAAAAATTTATTAGAACTAAAATTTTCCTGAGCAATTTTGATTTCATAAGCCTGTTTATCTGATAGGTTGGCTCAAAATCTGAGGCAAATGGCATAGCAAAATCTGGAGCAAAAATGGTAATGGCTGTTTCTTGTGCAAAGGTTAGTTTCTTCCCAACCTTGTCCAGTTCTAATGTGATTTATTTTTTTTTTTTATACTGATGGGACCCTCTTATACACAAACTTACAACAAGACTGAAAGCCAGAAATAAACAAGGGAACACTTGAGATTGATAATGGTTTTACTGAATAACAAAGGAATAGATGACTTTTACACACTGATACATAAGCTATATAAGCTACAATGGAAGTGACGATTACAAACTAACAAGGAACAGAACAAGATACACAAACAGAGCAAGATACAACACAATGGACTAATAGAGTTGCCAAACTTTCGAGAGGTTGGCTCTCTCCATCCCAAGGGCCAAGACCACAATTCAAATTCTCCACACCCCCCTGCTGAACCCAAAAGGGATGCTTTATAGACCCAAAAAGTGAGTTTAACAACCCCCAACTCATAGACCTTAACTATAGCGGTCCTATAGCTACCCTACTCTCTATTTCTTTCTTCATAATAGCAAGTCCAGCTTCTGCGCAACAAAAAGTAATTTCCCCCTTTTTATGCATCTTCCTAAACGTGATCCTATCATATACCCTCTTCTTTATGACTTAACCTTAATTCTTGCGTGTCTATGTTAGCTTTGTATCTTAGTTAAAACAAGTAGGAGCAGTTGATTTCTCTTTTGTTTTTGAGTCGAAATAAGCTGCGGTTGGCAATGTGATCGGTGGTTAACTCCTTTTGTAATTTTCATATTAAGCTCTTTCCTCCCACCGGAATAGATTGTAAACTGCATTGGTTAGTAGCAGCATGTACCTGAAAATCCTTAAATAGTTAAACTGGTAGCTTATGAAAGAGAACCATAAATTATCCAAAGAGCTACCTAATAATTTTTTTAATTTTCGTAATCGTTAGCGTCTTAAAATATGTTTCGATGATATGGATTGGCTTGGCAGATCTTCTATGAAGATTTACAAATTATTAAGGTGACACTTATTGATACTCTAAAAGACTTTTGTTTAGAAATAAAATTAGGTAAGTAATGTTTGCTTTTCTTGACAATTATACTACTACTGTGGTCTCACATATGTTGTCTGTGATTGAATTTTTTTTTTTCCAAGAAAAAAATTGGGGCTTTTAAGTCAATTTAATTTAGCCGGACGACTGAAAGATTTTGTAGATTTTCGCAATAACTTTTGCTTCCCATCAATATTTTCAGGTACCTAAAATCACTGTAGTTGTTGGTGGGAGCTTTGGTGCTGGAAACTATGCAATGTGTGGTCGTGCATACAGCCCCAATTTCATGTTCTTTTGGCCAAATGCTAGAATATCTGTGATGGGTGGTGCTCAGGTAATGCCTCTCACTTGAGGTCATTTAAGAGTGCTAAAATATGTTGTATGTAATAATATCTGCTCGTTATTGTTTTTTCTGTTTTAATGCTGGGAATATCCACTATTGCTTTTGCGTAAGTTCTGCTTTTTGTTCCTCAAAAACTTGGATGATCCTTTGCAAATTAAGGCCTTATTGATCCAGCACATCTTGGACTTCTCTCTGGAAGAAACTTGAGTATAGTTATTTAGATATTTGCTATCATATTATCGAAGTACCACATGTGGACATTTTTGACAATTCAGCATTATACAATTTACTCCTTAAAAGCCCTACACATATGAAGAATCTGATGGCGAACGCTTAAGAACTATTCTTCATTTTTTTTTCCTTTCTTTTTTAATATATATTGTTGTTTGCCATACAATGTTAGACTTGGGTGCATCATTTTGCGTTTTTTAACGCATCCTTCATTTGTGATTAAACCCATTATTAAAGTTTGAGAACTCATTACCCACTTTTACTTCCCTCGAGTGGATATACTTATAGTCCTTGGAATAATGATAATCAGGCTGCTGGAGTGCTTGCCCAAATTGAGAAAGC